TTTTGTAACATCTCATTATGCAGTGTGACATCATTTAAGTCACATGTGCATGCCAAACAAAGTCCAGTATCTTGACATACAGGAAAGATAACAAAGTTTTAGAAAAAAAGTTACATAATTATTTTGTATTATATACATGACAAAATTACTGCAATCTGATTGGTTAAGAGGAGTGCAATTATTTCATTGAGTGCAATTAATGATTTTCATGATGGCAGGGGGGAGCGGGAAATCAAAACAACAAAAATCCAATATGGCGGCGAAAATGTGGTTGAAATAATAGCAAACGGGGACGAATTTAACTAAATTTTGGCACGAGAATGAGTTCAAAAAACATAGTATGACAAAAAGAGCCTGTGGAAAATATCTGGAAATAGTTTTAATAAATAAACTCGGCAAGATGCAGCGAAACGTGACTATGTAAGTCTGTAATACAATTTATAAAGATTTTCTTACTCTAAAATATGTTGTTTAAGTTTAAATCTAGTGTTCTAGTTTAAGTTATGTGCCTTTATGAGTTTATGACCAATTCCCAAGTTTGTTTATACCAATTGCTTACAAAAGAATTAAAAACTCTTGACAAAATGCAGTTGAATTTTGAACAAAGCGATTTTGTCATGGATATAATAAATATATAATCACATGTGCAAGTCGTGCAATTAATGATTAACACTACTCGTGATATTTGAAAAATGTGCCAAATTGCACTCGCCTCGGCGGCTCGTGCAATTGACCATTTGCGTAATAGACTAAATTTTGATCTAAACAAGTCTAGACAAAAATTTCATCACAGCTTGAAAGAGCATCACAAAATTAGTAATATTCCAAAGTTTCGTTGCGAAATGTTGTAAAATGCGGATAATATAGCCTTGCGAAGTTTGCAATTTTCAGTCATTTTAGATTACAAACGGGAAATTGACAGCCTCAAAGGGTTTGGGGCTGTCAATTTCCCATTTGTAATCTAAAATGACTGAAAATTGCAAACTTCGCAAGGCTATATTTTCCGCATTTTACAACATTTCGCAACGAAACTTTGGAATATTACTAATTTTGTGATGCTCTTTCTAGCTGTCATAAAATTTTTGTTGAGATCAAAATTTGGTCTATTATGCAAGTGGTCAATTGGGTATGTTCGAGTATACAATGCTGCATTCACTTTCTGGCTGGGCAAAAATATTTTTTACCTCAAGAAATTATTAAGAGCTTCATCCTGAGTAATGTCGCCATGTTTGACTTGAAGCATCAAACTCTTTCTATCATCTTCACTCATCTGAACATGTGATGTTATGATGGCTGTCTCCACTGGGCCGCTGATCTTTGGAGGAGGTTGTGCAATATAGTTCTTCTTTTTGCCTGAAAACAATCGACTTATGCCATGCTTTGGTGATTTCTGCCCTTTGTTTTTCACTGCTGAAGAGAAGAGAAATTCTATTCACACACTTACAAAAATTAAGTAAGTCAAAAGATAGATTTAGTTAAAGTCTATTTACAACAAAAATATTGTTTTCCACGAACCATTTGTATCCAGGGAATTAAGACTTTTTGACAGTCCTTTTGACTCTTTCAGTAATTTTGCAGTTTTTTTCTTTGGCAATTTTGGAGATGAATGCTGCGAAAAGAACAGAATTTACTTGATAAATTTAAATGAAAGTTGTTAATAATGTTTGATATTTTTCCTTACCGCCTGTTCTTCTACTAATCCTTCATTTGTTTCACCATCTCTGAGATATTCTAGCACTTCCTTCACATCTTGGAAATATGTGTAAAGTTGGTCAGCATAATACTGTGCTAAGTCATCTAGTGGATCATGTTCAATATTCTGAAAAAAATCAGACAACATAAAGGTTGTTGCACGGCTTACTTTTTCAACAATTACGATACAATGCACTTGACTTTATGGTTTTATTATATGATTTGTCAAGAATGAAATAAGTATTTGGGTGTCAACACATCAAAGTGCAAGACTCTCCCCTTGACAAGTAAAATTGTCTGGCATATACTTAAAACTGAAGTCAGTTTCAAAATATAACCATTCCTTGCGAAGATATAAAGACTCAAATTTCAAAAAATCTGCCATTTTCTTCTATTTTTAGTAACAAAATGGCCAATTTTTCGACATTTGTATCACTACATCTTCGCGAAAAATGTATGTATTTAGAAACAGACTTCAGTTTTGAGACTCTCTCAAGGTCGTCTACCGAACAAGTGATTAAAATTACCAATAGCTAACTGTGAATTTTTTAGGGCCAAGTTTGTGATGCCATACAAAAAAAACAAAAAACATACAATTTGTAAGAATGATATGTTCTTATGTTCATGGGAAATTTAGTAGAAACAGGATGAAGCATATTGGCACTTTTGCATGCATTTTTGACAGGCATGAAGCTCTTGATGTGGCCTATTCCACAGCCTGAAACAGGCAGGCAAAATTCTTGAAGGAAGCTAGATGCAGGCAAAGGCACAAAAATGGCTTGGAAAATAAATGAAAAAGGTAATGAATTTAGCTTCCCAAAATATTTTTTCATTTGCCTTGTGTGCAAGTTGTCAAGGAAATACTTTAAAATTAAGAAATAGTTTGTTTGAAAGAAACAACCCACATACTGTATATTCACAACCCCCATACATTAGGAAGCCATTAAAAGGTGTTTATTATATCTATTTATATACCCAGTCACATGATCAATTCGCACCATATATTTTTAAAATTTGGATAATTATCTATTGGAATGTAACAAAATTTGAACTTGTAAAATTAAAGTTAGGGACCACATTGGACAAAACTTGTTTTTTACTTTACAACAGAAAGTTATTTGAATGACAAGATAGGATGACATTTTAAGACGGAAATTCCGGACACTCGATGAAAAAATATGCCAATTAAACGTAACCAAAAACGTGTTTTATGACCACGAAATAGAAGGAAATGCTTTCTAAAAATTACCAAAATAGTCCAGACTTTGAAATATATTTATGTACTAAGGGACGCGAGTTAAGACCAAGCCATTAAATGGTCGAATGGTTTCAAATTACCTTATTCAAAGTTTGAAATAGCGCCGTTTAGGAGCACGTATTGTTGTTATATTAGTTGAGATTTTCAAAAACAACAACTAGACACAGATTGGAGTGTCTATACAAATTTGCATACAGTGGTTTCATACTTGAAAGCAAAATACAGCTGTCAGCCTAAAGTATTGTTTACTAAATTCATATATAGTTAGGGTATTTGCTCAATTGTTATGAAATGATACGGTGTATCAGAAGCGGAGATAATGCCTTCTGTTTATATCAGACAGCAAGTTTAGTTGAACGGTTTATATACACGAGGCCATATACCTAATATTTAGACAGTATTTTTTATATATTCCAGTACTTACCGGATTATTTTCAGGTAGAACACAATTGTCATCAGCAAGCAAAGCCTTCATTTTGTTTATCAATTCATCTCTTCGATACTTCTCGCGGTCATTTTGACCAACATATTTTGGGGTCGTGGTTTCAACTTCAGCTTCGAGTTCAAAGTAGACTGCATTGACACCTTGATTTTTAAGACTCTGCACGGACGCGAGTATGTCCTTTCGATCCTTAGCATTTATGACACCAATTGCATCGAGATCTTCATCGCCAATTTGTTTACAGATATCTAGATCATCGTAACCATTGTCTATAAACGCCTGGACATAATTTAGAAGCCCCAAAGACCGAAGCCAATCGTCCACAGTTGTATTAGACATTATAGCCAAATATTCGATTGAAAACCCTTAGAGAAAACATCAAATTCAACTCAAGTATTTTTAATGTTCGTTTGCTGGCCCTTGGTGTGCCAAGCTGTCTTGATAGTGCGCATGCCTGTTGTTTAAAACATGCTGATCAGAGAGGAAGTGAAATTTACATACACGGTTGGAATTCAATTAGAACGTGTGGGAATGCTTTATAATTGCTACTATTAAATTTATAAACTGTGAAGCATTTTACATAGTAATTTTTGCAAATAATAGTTTGTTTCTCATCTTAATAGTTGTTTATGTTTGAAAATAATAACAGAAAATGTCTGTAAAAGGTCAGAAGAATTCAGTTTCCAATTGATTTGTGGAGTTCCGGTATTGGGGATTACGTGCTGACCGTCCATACTTTCTGTATAGTGGTCGATAATTGGTCGATAAACATTTATCTATGGCGGCAATCTTAAAAGCGTTAAATGTTTACTCTATTAAAGAATGTTTGCATTGAAATGCCGTAGCAATGAATACTGAATTTAATGGAGGATATGTTGGGTTCTGACCACAGACTGCCAAATATCGCCAAGCTTTTCAATACAATATAGTTGGCACTTGGCAAACACTCGGAAAGTTTACAGCACGGAAAAAAAGTATTATGCACTGACATATTGTTTGTGCAATTTACTGGATATTATACTTGCACTTATTCTGTCACTTTCCTCTCGAGCTTATATGAAAACATATGATCTTTGCGCAATGTGTTATGGCCTTTATTACGTAATGTGCTATTTTAATTTTTCTTATGCACTGATATATTGTTTGTGCAATTTACTGGATATTATACTTGCACTTATTCTGTCACTTTTCTCTCGAGCTTATATGAAAACATACGATCTTTGCGCAATGTGTTATGGCCTTCATTACGTAATGTGCTATTTTAATTTTTCTTGAATATTGGACCACTGTAGACAATCCAAAAGACATGTCTTTTGGATGTCTATGATTGGACACATTCTTCTTTTTTGTATAGGTCCGGAAATCTTCGAATAAGCTCCGTGGAAAGCAGAACCTTAACTTACTTCTTCAAGTGAAGACCCGTGACAAAATAGGTTTGTAATGGGTGTGGTTAAGGAGTGGACGAGTTTAACGCAAATGGCTTAACTTGAAGATAACCGGACCTCACCCTGCAAATAAAATCAGCCACACCGGTCCGCTTATGCCCGCATAGAGTTATCCGCCCGAGCCTTTGTGCAACGCCCAAGTGGGGAAAGATTAAAACGTGACCACAACTTATAATTAAGAGGTATCGTAGGCGTAAAGTTGATCATTGTAGTTTAATTTGTACATAGTTTACTCGACAAACAAGCTTGTGATTTTGTAATACTCGTTCTAGATCATGTTAACTCGAGCTTCTATTTTGTCCTGTCATTCGACTTTCTCTCTAGTTCTACTACGATTTGTCGTCCTGGCCGATACAAAACACATCCTCATCTTATTTTTTGTGTGCGTGTGTACTGGCTTATATATATATACACATCGTTAAGGAGAAAAATCGCCATCGTTAACCACGATTAGAAAAATTGTTGATACAAAAGTATTGCAACCATTGTTGATACAAAAGTATTGCAACCATTTCTTTCAGGTGTGCAATACAATTCTTGAAAAAAATCACGCTGCGTGACTTTGACTACTCTGCGGTAGTGGCCAAACAAGCCAGTAAAATTGGTATAAATAGACATGGATTAAAACTCTTTGTTTTCTTGATCAGCTGATCTTGGTCTTGACTATCAGCCAGATTCAATTTTTGGTCTACTCAGCATCTTCTTCCTCATTACCATTTTCTTCGTCACCATTCCTCTGCGGACTCTCGTTACCAGACTCGTGTTCGCTTTCTCGGTTTGATTCTTCACCTTCCGCTTCAGGGGATTGGGAACGAGATTTAGGTTCTTCTGATTTCGACCTTGATCTTGATTTCGAAGCTTCTTTTTCTTCGGCTTCCTTGGAACCAGATTTTGAACGTGATCGCTTTGGCGACTTGGATCTCGAGCGACGGCGACGTTTAGGTGATTTAGATCTTGATCTACAAGGGCAAAACGTATTTATGAAAATGAAAGGCTACATTGGTCTTTTCTTTATGATTACATTGTGAATGTTTCTATGAAAGTTTGCAAAGTCTGAACGACTTTCAAAACTCCAAGTATTCTCTCGGAGGGAGGCTTTTGTAGGCCACCAAAAGGGACCACCACCTTAGCAGACTTATATATATAATGACATATCCAACTCACCGACGATCCTTTGATCTAGAACGAGATCGCGAACCTCCAACTTTCTCCTTTATAACAAGAAAACATAAAGTACTTAATAAACTTTGCTCAATTGTACTCTCATTGAAATAATAAAACAATCTATGACTTACAATAGATAACTTTATCTTCTTTCCATTTATGTCATGACCCTGTAACTTCTTGAGAGCAGTTTTCATGTCATCCTTCGTCGCAAATTCTACAATCCTACACAGGTCCAATACACAAAAAATTATTTCCAACCCTTCACATCATTAACTAGAGAAATTGCCAAAGAAAACATATTTTGCAGTACCCTGTATTACGTTCTCTCTTGTGTGCATCCGTGAACGTAACCTCTGAAACATCATTGAATATCTCTTTCAACTCCTGAGGAAAAAATGTTTTGTTGGAACTTTTAATGCAACATTGCTCTCATTAACTTTAATGAACAAAATGAAAGACACCAAACTCAAAGATAATTTGTACACAAATTGCTGAAAATTTTGGTGTTAGGTGTTCACAAAATCTTATTCCGTAACATTTGTAAACTTAACCGATCGAGTGTCAACGCTTTCCACTTGACAAGTAAAATCATCTGGCTTTGGACAGAGTAAATTAATAAAATAAGCAAGACACTTTTGAGCAGGGAGAAAATGTTACCAAAGAGACAATGGTTTTTAAGTAAATAGGGAGACACCAATCATATCTGACATTGGATCTGATCAGAAAACCTCATTCTGCTTTTGTCATCCCATGTTAGCTTTCACGCAACAATACACAACATACTTACTTGCAACATAGGTTACACCTGTTACTCAGCTATTGAAAGGCGACATATAAACTTTGCATACTGGCCGTGTTAAACTACAGTCTGAAATGGCTAGGCTCTGGCTGGCACAATGTCAAATGGCTGGCACAATGTCAAATGGCTGGATGGTCTGTCAGGCAGAATCTGGTAATCTGGCATGACCCTCGGCACATGGTGACGTGGCCGACACACAGTGGTGGTGGAAAGAATGCGACTCCCAACTGAGGAAACGCCAGGTCTGTTACTCTGGCATGTGGCTGTACTAAAGGCCAGACACATACAATGTATGTTTGGAGTGTCGGACATGATTGGACCAATGAGATGAGGCAAGTGTTCACAGATAGTACGTGGGGTCACTGTAGTAAGGGATGAAGACCAAAGAGAATGGTTATAAAAAGTATACAATAGATGGAGTTTCATATTAGCTATGTTTTGTTATCAATAAATAATAAATAATAACCATCAAAAGATGAAGTATTTATATGAACAACAATGAAGTGTTTCTACGGACAAAAATAAAAGAATCAAATACCTGCCAATTGACACGACTGGAAAGATTTTCCACCAGCAATCTGTGGTCAGTTCTGACTGGAATATTTCGGCTTCGATAATCTCGGCCCCTGAAAATAAAAGGAAAAGATCAGGGTTGAAAATAAAAAGGAAATTGCAATTTTCAAAAGTGGAAACACTGACAAAATGGTGGCCGTTTTATCGTAAATTTTGACAACACTTCAAAACAATTTCAGCTATATTGCAATGTGAAAATTGTGCACATTGTACACCATTCATTCAGACCCTGGTGTCCTACATTTAGCCATCACCGCCTAAATAACAAACCTTCCACTTCGATATCGATCAGGGCTTCTTTCACGTCTAAAGCCATATGAAAAATCTCGTCTTGATGATGGTTCTCTGGCATGTTCTATTATCACTCTAAAATACAGTAAAATATGGTAAAGCTAATTAAACTAGTAAGACCACAGGGAGCCCATCCCATATCTTATTGAAAGCAAATATTGAATGTACATATAGTATTTATATAGCTCAGTGCTGAATCTAAGGGCGCGCAGCCTGCCTGTTGCGGGCTGGTTGCGGGCTGACAAGAGCGCGAGAGCTAATCTTGTCAGCCCGCAACCAGCCCGCAACAGGCAGGCCGCGCGCCCTTAGATTCAGCACTGAGCTATATAAATACTATATGTACATTCAATATTTGCTTTCAATAAGATATGGGATGGGCTCCCTGTGGTAAGACCACAATATATAAATCAATAATATAGGGTAAAAATCATGTGTCACAGGTCAGGGATGGATTTATTGGGGGATGGATTTATTGGGGGAGGAGTACAAGGGGGAGCCAATTTCCTTATCAAAGCCATTGTTGTTTTGGAAATGTAATTACAAAAATAAAATAGAGACAAAATATGATAGCAACATGATTGTGAAGCTGTTGAGCAAGACTATAGAATAGTGCCTTTCTACCACAGCTCCCTTGGCCAATGGTCACACCCTGAACCATGACCAAAGCTCAACAAGCACCCTCCTCCCCCCAGATCTGATTCCCCAAGTTTAATAATACATTTCACCCACCTTTCGCCAAGCAAATCACGACCATTTAAATCCCAGACTACATCCTCAGCATCACGTTCATCATAAAATTCCTGAATTAAAATTTAATTCAGTTCTGAAATTCAGTGATAAAAACTACTTGGACATTTCAAGCAAAGGTCCTTTGTCTGGAAATTAGTAGCCAGCCAGACAAAGGCCTAGTCGAAACATCAAAGTTAATTTCATATTTTTCAGATAGTCACATCATTTGCACCAGTTCTCAGTTTGCATTCTCCACTACCTACACTGCCACTGGACATTCAAGACACAGTAAAATTTAACTGCCTGCTGGATTTGAATATTTTCAGCGCCATTCTACACATAAACACAACTGGTCAAAATGCCCCACCAAAAAGTCGTTATGTATTCAGAATTGACCGTCTACAACATTCTACTAAAGACGTAACGTTCTTAGGAACATGGTTAAACGATTGCACTCAGATAAAACTATTTAAAACCAATCGGAAATACAGTTTTTTCAAATTTACAGTTCGCTCAACTCACCACAAAGCCGTAACCTTTTTTGATGCTTATATCGCGAACTTGACCATATCCCCGAACAAATTTCTCCAAATCTCTTTCTCTGGTATCTTCCCTCAACTTTCCGAAATAAAGTCTGGTTTTACTTCTCGACATTTCACCAAAATACTTTATTGAAAACACAAAATTAATTTCTATTTTTCTTTCCAAAGATGGCCGAAATCTAACAAACACGCAAGGGTCGCGAAGGAAACTTCCCATCATTCTCATGCGCAATTTGATTGGTTAATACTAAACACGTTACGATATTTGATTGGTTTACAATTTTCGTACCCAGGGCTTCTCGGTTCTTCCGCGTTCCCAATCCATTGAACTATAAATAAACTGGAAGGCTAACTGCTATCATGAAGGCCTATGATTTGACGAAGCCAAAATAGTTTTTCTGAGTTATGAGCAGAAATACTTGACCCCAAACGTCGGGCTATATATCAAATTGAAGCTATTGAAAATTGCTATTCGGTGTTGAAATTTCAAGACTTCGGCGAAAAGAAAAATATTTAAAAAATACAAAAACAACTGCAAAACGGCAAATTATCGGTAATTATGTTTGTAGTTTTTTAATATTTCCCATTTAGCTAAAGTCTTGAAATTTCTACACCAAATAGTGTTTTTCAATAGCTTCAATTTGATATATAGCCCAACGTTCAGTGTTGAGTATTTCTGCTCATAACTCAGAAAAACTAAAATGCACTGGCTTCAATTCCCCCCCCTGAGTTAGCCTTCCAGTTTATTTATAGTTCAATGTCCCAATCTCGTTCCCAGGCCTCCTCCGAATTTTCTTTGGCACTGAGGGGGAAATAGACGGGGCATTTTGCATAGATTTCAATAATTTCCAGAAATTTAAGTTTGTTACAATATAAACAAATTCAATATGAAAACAAGGTCACTAACAGAGTCAAACTGACAGAAGTTAAGTTGACAGAAGAAACTTTTGGGACCGACAAGTTGGATATATCCAAAACTATCAAATGGATGCGGCAACTGCTATTGAAATTGATGACGTTAGTTTTGATGTTTGTCCTGTATGCGATACTCTGGTAAAGAAAGAGACCTTAGAGCATCATGTAGAAGCACATTTTAAACATCAAGACAGAAATGGTATAATTACGATGTATACGGTATAATTAATGGTAATTATATATATAATTAATGGTAATTATATATATATATATATATATATATATATATATATATATATATATATATATATATATATATATATATATATATATATATATATATATATATATATATATATATATATATATATATATATCCTAATTAGTATTCCTTTGTTGTCATATCTTAAGCTATTCAAAACACTCAAACATGCGTTTTATCATATCTAAAACACTTGGCTTTGCCCCACACTTGGCTGCGTTTTAAATATGATAAAACACTCCTTTTCGTGTTTTAAATACTACATATATATAGGTTAATTTTTAAACTATTAAACTGCCATGTGCCCTCACATCTGCTTAGTCAAATGCTAGACAAGGTGCTTTGTATTTACTGATTATAGCTTGTGAATAATAGAAGCATGATTGTACACTGCACTGAATACTATAAGTGTATGGGGAGCATAGACTACATATATACCCTGTTACAATTTAAATTAAAAACTACCATGCTTGAATCAAAGCACATTGATATTGTGATAGATACAACTGCAGAGCAGGAAAGTTCAGCTGACACTATTGATGTGAGACAGAAGCTTCCAGGACCTCCATGTAAAAAGACATGTAGTCAAAGTGACGTTTTGGCAAATGAAACAAGTGATGAGATGCTGGCAAGAGTTTTGCAAGAAGAGGAAAAATGGGAAATAGAAAGACAGAAAGAGAAAGAAAAAGAAGAATTTCATAAATTGCAGGTCTTAATGAAACTAATTCTATTAAACCTTTTTTCATTTACCTAAATGAGTCCACTCATAAAAGAGAAAGTGTTGGACATTGTAGATTCCCCTAAACAAAATTGGTCTAATAATCTCTAGAAATTTCCTAGTAACCATTTGAATAGAAATTACTATAAATTCATGTAAATTATAAAGTTTTCCAACTGGTGGGCTTTGGGTTGTTAAACTTGATGGGTGCACTCCCAGCCCTTAAATACATTGCCTAGGTGAACTGTGCACAAGACTATGTCACCAGAATATAATTTGATCTACCATCCAATGCAACTCATTGTTAACCCAATACCTTGTAACCTCTACTACTGAGTCTACCATCCAATGCAGCTCATTGTTAACCCAATACCTTGTAACCACTGGTCAAGCAAGTGTCACCAAAACCTAACAAATCCAACTAAGTTTCTAACTTATAAAGAAGAAATATAACCCACTAACCAAAGTTTAAGTTAAGTTGTTATAATATTTTTAGCATAAATATGGGATGAATTCAGCATCAGGTTACGCCGACCAATATACTCAATCCTTGAATAAGGACGTCTCAAAAAATAAACTGTCAATGCCTGAATATTATTCAAAGAAAGAAAAATTGCTTGATTCACTCTTGTCTGGAGAAGAAAGTGGGGAAACATGTACCACAGGTAACAGGCACAAAGACTCTATATCACTCCTTAAAAACGTACCCAAATTTCCACGATTGGTTAATGTGGTTAGAAAGAACCTTTCTCTATTGGTATAAAATCCTGCAGAAATTTGCAGTGATTTAATCCTTTCAATTTTTATTCAGGTGTTATTAATCATTTACAACAACAGATCAGAACAAAAGGACCAACACCCAACCACTTTGTCAGACTGTGTTGCCCAACAGATCATTTCTCAAGCAGTTACGGAGATAAAAGCTGGGGTTGTGGCTATAGGAATTTACAGATGTTACTATCTGCTCTAATTAAATTAGAACATTATAAAGGCGCTATTTCAAAAGGTAGTTTTGGTTAAGATTGTATAAAAATAGATACGCTTATGTATACATACGAGCCATTATAGATATTGTTACAAATTTGAATTATAATGGTTGCAAATATGTACTAGAAATATTACAAATATAAATTCGAATTATTGCCAAAAATGATTTGAAGGTTCTGCTCAATATTTATGATCTGTTTCAACTTTTCAGTTTGTCAAAACATTCCTTCAATTCCCACCATCCAACAGTTAATAGAAGATGCCTGGCGTCACGGTAAGACAATTATTTTCAAGACAAGTTCTCTAAATTCTAATCAGAGAACAAGTTCTGTTAAAAATACTATTGTTTTAGGGTATGATCAGCAAGGCGCTGCACAACTTGATCATAAACTTACGAAAACGAAGAAATGGATTGGAGCGACTGAGATTGCTGTAGCACTAAAGTTTATTGGCTTGAGGTACACTTCAGGATCCTTTTGTTCCAAGAGAACATTTCCACAAAATTTTTCAATTTCCACTGTTGCAAACAGGTCAAACAGAAATATGCACTACAACTGGGTATTATGTGTCAAAAGATGTCTTTCTGTTATAGAGCTCATATTGTGGACTTTTATCAAGCAACGGCAGCAGATGGAACACACCCGGAACTTTTTGCTTGGATGAAAAGATATTTCTCTAAAGATTCAGCACAAAGTCCAGTTTACATTCAACATCAAGGTAGGATCAATGCTATTGACTGAATGCTGTCTTTGATCTAAAAAATTTTTCCCGGAAATGTTGGCAAATAACATAAATTCAAGTTTTCAAAAGTGCCCTTTGCCGGGGCAAAAAATGCAATTTTAATGAAAATTTTTCACGCAAAAAAGGGCACTTTGCTCCCGGAAAAAGGGCACTTGCCAAAACTTGGGGGGCCTGCCCCCCAGTTCCTACGCCTCTGGTGAAGAACAAGCCATGTTTCATTCACAGGTCATAGTCGGTTGGTTGTTGGATTTGAAGAACGTTATACGAAGATAAAAACACAGCATCTAATCCTCTTCGATCCGTCTCATCCGCCTAAAAAGATGCAAGAAGTGTTCGGAGGAGAAAGAAAACAAAACACTGGCTTTAATATGCTCAGAAAAACTACGAAACAAATGAAATCCAAGCAGTACCAATTGGTTTATGTTGATGGAATTATGACAGAAGCTGAAAAACAGGTACTATGGATAAATATGACAAAAAATATAATAATTTTCTTTCAAAGATGGTTACGAATTAAAATGTTAGTTACGAGGTAAAAATTGTGGCTTCGAGACACCGCTTTCAGTGTAAAATTTATTCTCGATGAAGATTAAAACCTATGATTAGTAATCAACTTCTAGTTATTTTGAGTGAGTTTTTCTTCTTTTCTAGGACAGTAAAACTTTGTCATCGGTGAGAATACCATGATGTTGGCAAAATCAGAACGAAACCAATTGTACATAGTCATAGAAAAACTGTTGATATTTGATAAGTTAAAGATATTTTCTATTGTTACTGTAAAAAATGTTGTGTTACCAAAAAATAAACTTTTGTAAATTTTCGTTATTTAAAATAAAAACGTAAGGACGGCCTTAGTAAGGTTCTAGAGAAGTATATCACATTACTATAAACAAGTAGTATAAAAGGTATATGGAAACTTGTTACCGATAGAGTACAAGGGAGTTAGCCAGAGAAACGCCTGATTCTTAATAAGAAAACACGCATCTTTCACCCTGTGGGCAGAGCCTCCAGAAAGCGAGAGAAAATGAGGCTCTGCTCGCAGGGTACGTTCTCTGGACCAAGTCAAATAAACGTATTAGACTAGGCAGCCGTAGGTTCACACTATACCAGAGTGAAATAATGCCAGCAGAATTTGGGTGTGTTCACACTACGCCTTTACAGTTTGTTTACAAATTAAATTAGCACTCACGTGAACCCAAAATATTTCAAATAGAGCAAAGGAGAAACTTAAAACAAAAAACATTGAAATTGACTGTTTTGAGACCCAAGATGCATTGGAATTGACTGTTTTGAGACCCAAGATGCAAGCGGTACAAAAAAGTAACGGTGTTTGGGTAGATACCTCATTTGATCCTTATCAGTTTTTGCACCGCAATAATTAGAGCTGATTTTGCTCTATTTGAGATATTTTGCAGTATTCGGGGTTACAGGTTAGGGGCGGGGTTAGGTATTAGCCTTGATACATAATAATAGAGGTCACACCAAGTACATACAGGCGTTTGTGTTTTACAAGCGCCCCGTTTTCATCTCGCTCCGTTTAGAAACCGTGCTCAAATTGTTACGGCAAAAGTGACGTTTTCAAACAATTTTGCTCCGCCTTAGTGTAAATATGACTTTTCTGCGCCGTTTTCAAATCACTCAGGCGTTGTGTGAATCACCATACTGGCATATTTCAAGGTATAAATTATGCATTTATATGCTTTGCACAACTCCACACACCTACTAATTTCATTCACTTTTCTTTTTCGTAGAAATCTACATCTCTTGAAATTAAATGTATCTGTTTTATATTCTTCGTTGCCCCTAATTCTAGGCATCTCTTTTACTATTTACACAGTCAACACTCCAAATGTTTATAGAATTTTACAATTCTTAAATTATAGTGAATATTTACTTTGCTGGCTTTTATATTTCACTTCAAAGCATTTCTTTCACTTTCAGAGGGGATCTTCCACTTTCAAATAAAGGGCGAATCATCCACTTTCGGGGCTCACGAATTAACTCTCTCAAATTCTACTGCTTTCGCATTCGGGGGGAACGATTTAAGGGGGCTCTTCCACTTTCAGGGGTTCGCATTCTTCTTTCGTTCACTCTCTCTCTTTCACATTAATGTGGCTCTCCTGATCTGGTCATAATTCAATCTTATGATCTTTCTATATCTTTCTATGTTCCATCAAAACTGAAAGCCTTGCTGTGGCAGATCAACACCTTGTCCAAACTGAAATTGTCCTTCATCAGTGGTGGCTTGTGGTGCTAGTTTTTCATCCTCGTCTTCGGCGTTGAAGAAATTCTCCAAGATTTCAAACGTCTTCTTATAGATATCTTCATTTTCATGACTTTGAAGGAATTCAATTTTGTCCAGACCTGGCCGAAGAAAATTTACAAAATAATGATCAAAGAATTAGATCACAGTAGACATAGCAAAAATCGTGAGCCGAGTTGACTTACCATAACTTTCTTCAACCATTAAAGCATATTTATTTGGTTCTCCACTTTGTTTGGCATCAACTTCGCCAACTTTGAGAATATTTTCCAGACCATTGAGTGCAACGCGGATGATTTTCATATCCATGACCGTGAGAAGGTCACATAACGGAGGAATACAACCTTGATCGACAAGATATCTTTTCAAATCAAATCAAAGATATTAGTATAGGATGCTTCCACATTTGGAGTTATAAAAAGAAATTAAACATTTCTAATTGAGTTCTAAATGAATTCTTATTGTTTCCAATTATGTATTCTAATTGTTGAAATTGCTTACCTGATTTGTTCTGGGGTTCCTCCAGATGTAGCGTTAGTAACTGCCCACGCAGCTTCTTTCCTTGTTTTGAATTCTGCTTTACCAAGTATTTCTATCAACATTGGAATGATGTTTGCATCAATCACCATCTAAACGAATTCAAAGAATACAAAAGAATATTTTTATATTTGTCTAACCATTAAAGTGATGAAACAAAGAACATACAGTAACACAGTACTAGGCATAACCACGGGTTAACAGTGCGACCAAACTCCAAATACTTTTAAGAGGCATTTTTTTTCGATGTCACGTATTTGCAATGAAAAGTGTTCAAAACCTAAAATCTTTTTGGCGTTCCTCTCAAAATTACTTTGTTTTAGCTTTATTCTCTAGTTTATACAGTTAGCTACCTTTTTAAATGCATCTGCCGGTTGAGAAACATAAAATAATAGTTAAAAATTGTCAATTAAAATACAATTATCAATGATGCTTTAAAATTGACGCCATATTTACAACCATATAAGCAAAACTTACTGAACTTCAGACATAATTTTCTCTCTTCATTTTAGCATTATTTTACAGATAAAGCACTAAACATACTTTTTAAGTTTGTTTGCCGATTGAGAAACGTATCGAAAAATAACAATTTTGAATTTAGTCATAACCTCAAGTGGTATATTATACGCATTAGTTTTGAGCGCGTGTTACGTAACATACAAAAAAATCTCCTCTTAATTTAAAAAGAGGTAAATATGCAAGGAACAAAGTGATAAAACAAAGAACATACAGTAACACAGTATTAGCCAACCTGTATTTGTGCTCTATTGCCAGCAGTTATATTAGACAACGTCCAACATGCTTCCTTTCTGATGGTTTCCTTTGATGAACTCAGTAGATGGAGTAGACTTGGCAGAGCATTGCAGTTTAAAATAACCTGGGATAAAATTTAAGTTGATATGTGAATTTGTGGACAAGATAAGATTTGTATATAAGGAAAATCAATACCTGTGTCTGTACATCATCACCAGTAACAATATTTCCAACAGCTCTAAGACTTGCTGAGACAACGCTATTGAAAGGATGCCTGGAATTGCAAAAAGTATAGCTATGATTCAAGTTGAAACTAAAGTTATCCTAAAGTCATCAGCAAGTGTTTCTTTCAAATAGTTCGGACAAAAATCACCATTAGATATATGGAAACAAATACAACAGTTTAGAAAAGACAATAACTTGACTGTTCAACGTACATTAACAGTTCTACCAATCTTCGACAAACACCAGAAGCTATCACTGCTTGAATCTTCTCATTAGGACCATCAGAAAGATAGGACAGTGCCCAGCATGCATCAGCCAGGATATCTGGATCAGATTGGTACATTGTCGATGGTTCGCTGCTGAATAACAGCCTTGCTAGGACAGGCAGGCAGACAGAAACCTATGGGAATATCATAAAAATATAATGATCTAGATGCGCATTTATGGGTTAATTTTGAGGAGTAAAATTGTCTGGCATTAGACAGAGTAAAATAGTAAAGTAGATTTGGGTGTATTGCAGCTTAAAGATATTAAACTAAATCTGTACCTTTGTAAAATCTGGTGGTGGATTCTTTCCACGACATAAGTTTGATAAAGCCCAAACAGCATTCTTCATCATACTTAATTTTCCAGATGTGGTTAATATTCTATACAATATACAATGTCTTTGCTATAATTCCCCCAGTGTAAACAGGAGGGAAGGGAACAAAAAAAATAAAAAGGCAACATTGATCTTTTTTAAGGTTAGTGTAACTTTTAGGATCAGCCTAATTAGGGATAAAAAATTGGACTTTTTATCAAAATCTTTACAGATGACACTTGAAAATACATACATGAGTAATGGATCCAACATGCCATTCGCAATGACAAAATCTCGACACTCTGGACTATCACCAGCAACATTGCCAAGTGCCCAAACAGCCTGGAGTAGAAAACAAAAATACACAATGATTTGACATCAGTGGTTGATCTCTTCCCAATTAATTCAAAAGCCTAGCAAATGGTTGAGCTACATGTGCTTTGTTAAACACTGTTTTTATATTACCAAGAAAACTGGACATTCCCTTCAAAACATCAGGGAGCTACTCTATAACCTCCTGAGGGATGGCTTTCACTTGATACACCCATAATCCTCACCTGTTCTTGCACATCTTCATGTGGTGAAGACAACAATGCAACAAAGATAGGAACAGCTCCAGCTTCAACAACTTTTCTTGTTTGTGATGACGTTCCTGATGCTATGTTTGTCAATGCCCAAGCTGCTTCAAACTTTATGAAATACACATCACCATTAATCAATAGACAGTTATACGCTGTTCTGCTTATAGGTATCACCTGCAACACCTCCCTAACAATTCAATGTTTTGACTCTACTTATCAGGGGTGGGTGGATGCAGATCCATCTTGGGGGGAGATGTGGGGGGGGAATGGTGAGGTAGGGGGAATGGTGAGGTAGGGGGATTGGGAGGTAGGGGGTATTGGGAGGTGGGGATTGGGTGGGGGGATTGGGAGGGGGGATTGCCAATAAATAAAAGCTACTCACCTGAAGAACATGGTTATCTTCTCTCTTTAAAAACTCAATTAGTCTTGGAATAACACCACTATTGATCACTTCTTCAATGGGAGGGTTTGGCTCTAATCAGTGAAATAAAACAATGATATAATTTGCATGGTTATGATAAAAAACTATTTTGTTCACAAAACACAATGCATGTTTCTTTGCCTTACCCTTTGAAAGTAGTCTTCTCAATTGTTGAGTGACAAGTAACTGCTCCTCTTGATTCTCTGTGTATAACTTCTGGATCATTGAATTTGCTAAAGCACTCTGAAAAATGGCGTGGATTTAGAATTATTTGCAAGAGCTGTGTCCACAGTTTTTCTTCTGAAGTGGCATGCAAGCCATTTCTGCTTACTTTGTGGAGGGATGTGCGAACTTGAAGAAGATTGGGGTTGGTTCTCCTAAACCCACAGATGCTTCCTCGTGTCAGACCTTAATTAGCAATCTCAGCATAATTTCTCATTAGCAATCTCAGCATAATTTCTAATTTCACAGACCGTCATAGGAAGAAGTTATTTCGCTGACCTCAGAATGACATTTCGTCAAAAACATTTTCTTCAAGATTGGTTTAGAAACAAACTTGGAGTAGGGTTAGGTTAGGATTAGAGTTGGTGTTTGGAATAGGGTTAGTGTTAGTAAAACTGTTGCTTTGTTATGTTTTGTCATTCTGAGGCCAGCAAAATAATCTCTTCCACCAACATATTCCCAAAATGTGAATGTCATGATATATACTAAGATATGTGGTCAGAGGTTTCATTCCTTAATGTTTTGGTGGGGGGAGAGCTGAGGAGCAGCAGCTCTTTGGGGATAAACCCATGTTCTGGGGGTATTCCCTGTGCCAGAAAATCTGGCTATAACCAAGTTGACAGCCATATAATCTTACCACCTGCTGGTCCCAACATGATTATATTCACAATCAAAAAGTTACAGTAGATATATACCAACAGCATTAATGTACAATTACATACTTTCAGTGTACTGCACAATACAATATCACCAATATATAAATTTAAATTATTTAATAAAGTTTACCCGTGCAGGGTCGTTCAACAACGCTTCGAGTTCAGGAGTCGAATCGAAATCCTGCGTTTCAACATTTCTCCGTTTGAAAACCTACACCAAAAAGCAACAATATGTAAGACCTTAATATATCAACTAAAGATAAACTCTTTAGCCACTCAAATGATATTTCTAACACAATGAATGAATGACAAAGATTAAATATCTTACATGTTCTTCCCGTTTCGCTTTGCGAAGTTGTACGCCTTCTTCTTCGCGTCTTCGCCTTAGTTCCTCAGCGTCAAGACCTTTGTTCTTGTAAGATTTTAACCGAGTGTTTTGGTTTACAGTAGACATATCTGAGAACGAATTCGCCGTGTCTTTCTTCCGCAATGCAATACAGAAAGGAAGAAATTAAGATTTATAGAAATTCGTTTTCCTTCTGTAATATGTGCTGTCGGAAAATAGAGCATGCGCAAACGCGACGAAACCGCAGCCACTTGAACTGGATCAGCTGGCGCCATTTTTCCTCGCTCTCTTTCTCTCGCCTTCGCTTCCACCCCCTAGCTTCTCCCACCATCCCCCCCTAATAGTGCCTGGCTACAAGAAGGAAGAGCCTGGGAACGAGGTTGGCACCTCTCACGGCCATAATACGCATCTGATTGGTTAATCAGATGTATCAAACGCATCTGATTGGTTACAGTAATGGTCCTGGCAATTTTTCGCCCAAAGCCCAATCTCGTACCCAGAGCCATCGTTGAGTGGCTCTGGGTACGAGATTGCCCAAAACCCAGCCTTGCGAATTGCCTCGACCTCGTACTACAACTTTAGCTTCGTAACCGTAGCATTTTATGTGAACAATTGAAGCTAGAAGTGCTTTCAATTTTCAATCCATCTAAACATTAGGTATAGTATGCAATACAATGTGAGATACGCATTGAAGAATACTATATTAGTCATTACAAAACTAAATCCGATCCAAGACTTAATATCAGTGCAGCAAAACACTCTTTGAGTACAGGAAACCCCCTGATCCAGGGTATCTCGTCGTAGTCTCAGAAAAAATCACAACTTCGTTTAAAAAATGTACGAATCAAGAAACGGACTTTGTTTCCTATAGCAACAGGCTACAAGAAACAGCTACTTCCTTAAAATCTTGTCGTAAAGATTTTCTTTTAACCACCGAAAGCGAGTCAAGAAAATGAATAAAAATGAACGAAAATGTACGAATCAAGAAATGGACTTTGTGTCCCATAGCAACAGGCTACATAGTAACAGCTACTTCCTTAAAATCTTGTCGTAAAGATTCTCTTTTAATCGCGGAAAGCGATAAGCTTATGCATTTTAATTAGATAACAAAGAAAGGTTATATAAACATTTATTTTAATCTTTGGACGACATCTGTGCGGTGCCAGTGCAACTGAGTGGAATATTTCAGTTTACTTTCCGTTGTAGCTCAACGAAATTTCTGAAAATCTAATGTTCCCGGTTTTTTTTTTGCAAAACACAAGCTGGAAATATCGTTTTTCGTGGCGCGATATATTAAGTCGAGCAAATATAGATTAAAAGACAATATTATGATGCATTGAATGCAAATTGGACTATATATTGCCAACGACAGACAGGCAAATTGCATTTATTGTCGGATAATATCTGCTTTTAAATTTCCAGTTTTTTTTAAAGATAACTTCAAATACCGCCGATATAAAATGAAGAATGAAGTTATCTCAATATGAGATTTGAACAGTTACTTTTTTTGGCATGGAATAAAAATAGTATTGCATTGTTTAAAATTACAATTGATGGACAGCTAGTACGGCAGGTGGATCAATGTAGATTTACATACAGTTCTTGTTAGTATTGTAATCAGTTAAAGAGATGAAACCTTCAGAAAAACTTCGCGCGGAAACTCAGAGTCCACAGTGAAAGATATTCTAGTTGTGATAAAGAGAAATTCAAATGGCGAGCTTGAGGTCAGAGTACGATGACAAGAATCTCAAAAAGAATGCGTTTTCTGGACGACGTTTAAGACTCGAATTGGACCGATTGGACATCCAGAAAGATCACATTTCCAAGCAGTTTCGACATGAGAAAGATCAACTAAGAAAGCAGATAGCAGAAGGAGAAGAAATACTGAAGTTTAAAAACTTAGATCCAAGCGAAATTCGGCCGCCATTATCATCGACCGACATGAAAAAACTCAGTCCTCGGTTTGCTCACAAACTTAGTGGAGCACAGCTTAGTATGTTGCCCCCAATTGGGGCTCCAGCTCATCCACCTGACAATTCTAAGGTGGGCCAACCTTTACCTAGAAGCGACAAACGTCGATTTTCGCTACCTGCACCAACAATTGCATTGCACGAGTGCATTGATACGGAAAGAAAAAGATCAAGTGACAGTCTAACCATTCCCAAATTACTCAAGCGTAGAGCCTCGGCCAATAATGCTTTGCTGAAGGACAGCGAGGATATTACTGGCAGAATTAATGAATTTTTTCAAAAGTTAAGCAAGTCCAGTGAAAATGTTACTATTGAATGTCAGAAAAGCACGGGTGAGAAAAGTTCAACTGGAACACAGAACTCGTTGCCATCCCCATAAGCGTGTTTCAGGTTGAGCTGAACGTTAATGAAGAATGATGTCAGTGTTAGATCATGCACGTTTATCACAAAATATATTTACTCGACAGAGAATATTCACAGAATAAAGATAAAGTATATGTATGTAGACACAATATTATTATTATAATCCGTTATTGGAGATTATGCCCGTGGTCAGTCCCTGCCTGTATACTGTAAGTAAAATATGTAATATTGAGTAATGATTTAGTGGTATTTGTGTTTGTGTGTGTGGCAAATCTAATTGCAAAATAAAATAAAATAGTTTGGGGTGATCGTGTTGTAATAGATATACTACAAGACCGCGCACTATAGTGTTGTATATTTAGGTGTATATAGCATAGTTTAAACACTAATTTATTTTTCATTATGAGACATCAATGCTTCTACAACAATTAAATCAATGTATTTACAGTAAAATCTTTGCTCATTACACATTTGTTCAAGTACTGCACGTGAAACAGGATCGGGATATATACTACAATACATTCTTTCTATGAATAGTGCACATTGCCGACCTGGGGCCGGTTGTATAAACTATAACTACTTTTTATACATTATTTTGTAGTTAAATAGTACTCTAAAATACGCGATTTTGATTGGTTTCATATGAACATTGTTTCAACGCTAGCAGAGCGGTAACGTCGATCCAATTTGCATTTTCAATCACTTTTCAACGTCTATCCAACGTCTGGGAGGTCATATCTGACACTGATTCAACGTTGAATCAACGTCATTTTGCCCGCTGGGCTGTAGTTAACTTTAACTACCTTTTTATACAACCGGCCTCAGAGGACATGAGAGTGGGTGGAATCGTAGCTACGATTTTCAAGCCGATTCGAACCGATTGCGTACACATTCGCTCCAGTTAGTTCCAATGACTTTCCAGACCCCCACCATTTGGTAGACGATATTCAATGAATGCCAAATGAAGTCAGTCCAAACACATTGTTCCACATTTCTGGGAGAGAGAATGAACATGGCAGTACGGGCAAGGTTTTTACTTTACATAACAGTGGGTTGGTGAACAGCTTAATATTGACTTTGCTCTCTTTTCTATATTGTCTAAACCAGTCCCGTTAGTGTGAATGTAGCACTAAGGGTTCTTACTTTACATAGTGGTTTGGTGAAGTATAATGGTGGAAACAGGGTCTTTACTCTCTTTTCTCGCTGTCTAAACCAGACAACAAGATCATGAATGCGTCTAACTTTACATAACAGTGGGTTGGTGAAGTAATGGGGGAAACAGTGATAGAGCAGTGTTTAATGTCGTCTTTACTCTCTTTTCTCGCTGTCTGCGATTACAAAACCACACTCGGACAACTTCTTTATCCAGTCCTAGACTCTCTGCAATTCTGTAAACTTCAAGGGAGGAAGGTTTTGGGTGTTTCATAAAATGCCTCTCTAAAGCTTCCTTTGCCGTCAAACCAATGGTTGTTCTTTTCTTTCTCTTACGATCCTGTCCGAGTTGATCATCGGCGTCGTCCGCTCCTTGTCGTTCAGCTTCGGCAAGCCATCGGGTCAGGATCGGTTTTAGTTTGTAGGCATTCTTCAGACTGAGTTGTAAATTCTCAAAACGACAGATTGTGGTTTGACTGAAATCTGTTCCATGTATTGCAGCCAGTGCAGATCCCACCCCAGTCTGAGTGTAACCAAGTTTTATACGGCAGTGTTTGAATTCGTTTGCAAATCTAGATAAAGCAAAGACAATGTATCACTACAATAGCACAAGTACTTCTCATTAACAGCTTCATGCAATTAAAAACTCTAAAAACTAGAGCCATGCCCCCCATTCGCTACAAACATGGCTAGAATCGTTAGTATTAGCGTAAGTACCACAACGGTAAACTAGTATACTTATAGGGCTATTTTATGATATAAAAGAATCTCTGTGATCACAATAGCTCACGAACTTTAAAAGAAGTTTATACCGCCATACAATTTGATTAGTGCATACTTAAAAACAATTTGAAAGTGTGAATCTATTGAAAGAGGAGTCTCCGTTGGCTGTCCAATAATGATATAAATTAGTGTAAACTAGTGAATGAGAAATCTATCCCAACACTCACCTTTCCAATTCTTGCAACTGTTTCGCTCTAGCTTCAAGCTCTGGATCGAAGAGAGAATGATTTCCAAGAATATTTCCCGCAGAGCCTGCGCTCAAAGCTTGGCTTGGTAAAGTATACGTGTATCGACACTGCGGTTTGTGTAGCGCGCCTTGCTGACTCTGTGTTTGAATGATTGAAGATGGTGTTGGGTAGGGTAATTGGTTTTCCATCACTGGATTACTGACACTCGAGTTACTGAACGATTCATAAGCTTTGTACGTTGTATATGCATTATGGTTTGTAAACATAGAGCAAGCCATTTCCAACATGCATAAAAAGTGGAATAACGTTTATAGAAACTGTGAAAGTCTTCTCGCTTGTCTGATGTGTGTTGGTTATTCAAGCGCGCAAGCTGAGATCTGCGTGAATCATGCATGGTGTGTGAGTTTTATAAGTGCGCTATCATAGTGTATCGCATGCATAATTGATGGCACACAATATCGATGTGACTTTTTGTTTAGAAGTATATAAGAACCGCAAGCAATTGAGCAGACGGTTTCCTTTGTTGCGCAAAACATACAATTACGCCCAGGATACAAACGCGATAACACATCACGCAATTCGCACACAAGATAAAATTGACTTTTTCATATCCTGTGTGGACAAGCCGTTTGTAAATACATCTAAATATTCAAAATTTAATACTATTTAAAAGTGCTAGCATGCACATTCTGCCAAAATATATGGCGGTGCTTGACTTCTTAAAACATCTGATAAGATAGGAGTTATTTTATTTTTCAGAACTAATTATGGTCAACACTCAACATGGATTTTTTTCTCTCTTTGATACTTTTTAATTGGATTTAATTGCATTAGAATTTCGAACGAATAGTTAAATTGTATACTACTGCTATAAAAAATTACCAACATTCAGAGTTGCTGTATATTCACTTAAATTTGATTTTCCAAATTTGGATGTTAAAATTAGTTAAATATTCATTCATAACTCAGGTTAGAAACAGGGTTGAAAACTGCAAGCTTTACAGGTAGGCAGTTTTCTTTTGAAAAAATCCATACATTACATGTTTACCGTGAGGAAGAATTGAAATAATGTCAGACTGAGCAACTGTTACATTTGGGCCATTTGTACATTGAAACTGGCGAAGACGAAAACGTGTGAAACTTCAAAGAGTCATAAAATTACCGTATCAATAAATTTCTGATATTATTGGATATATTTTAATGAGTTGTTCAAATATTTTTCAAAAACGGGTCTCATTAAACGCTGGGAAGGCAATGCCTGTATGCAGCGAGGATAAACTGTTCAAAGGAGTTTGTTTGCTTGCTAAATGACTACTTATATATACAAAACAATTTTCCGTGTACTTTGCAAATAATAGAAACAGTGCATGTATTGAAATCTCTCGCAGCAGCCATGCGGTTCCCACGGTGCGCATACAAAAGAAAGATAAGGGTGAAAAGTGGCTATCTTTTATGCATTAAAACATTACGATTTTCTGAGCAAGTCATTGCAAGCGTAATGTTCTGAAGAACTGTTCCTTTGTAGTAGACTTGCACTGTCTCCTTGGCCTTAGTTTACGTATTTTCAGTAAGCTATACAAAGAAATAGATAACGCTGGAAAGATTTTTTATGCATTATAAAACATTACCGACTTTCCGGTCGACTTTCGTATTAAATGTCAAGGGCAATTGAGGTTTCGAGCGTTGATTTTTGAATTTGAAAGAATCTAGTGAAGGAACAGTTCCTTTGTGAAGCCTTTGCACGTTCCATTTAGATTAAAGCCATCCAAAAGATATAACGGTGAAAAGGAAAAGCTGGATAATTAACTTTATGCATTACAATTTACTGAGCAACTCATTGTCAGGAGGCAAATATTTGTATGTTACGAACTAACAATTTCTGAAGCCGTTTCACAGACACAGTTTTACTAAGACTTTCTAAGACTAAGTGAAGATCCATTTTTTTTAATGAAGTGTTGTTGGAAAGAAAATATTGTTTCTGCATGTTACTATAGGTTATTAGTGAAACTAAATCATTGAATCAGGACCTGTTGTAAGCCGCTTGTCTTAAGATTACTTCCTATACCTTACAACCAATATTCAATCATCAACATTGTATAAAACTGAATTATTCCGGCATGCTATATAGCTATTATAGGTCAGTGGGGTTTCTTCCCGATGTAGATAATGTATTATATTCCCAATAGGCAATATATTACTTTTAATTGGCTATCTTTATTAGGCCAATTACCGAGTTCCAACATTTCCAGTCATTTTTTATTACTTAATGCATTTTGTATTTGTACGTTTTTCCATGAAACCACAACAAGAGTCTAGCATGTCAGTATAACGCTTTTGGATAGAAATTAGTTTTGGTTTGTACCAAAAGTCCATGCATCCACACAGAATGCAATCTGAGATACACACCAATTCATATGTAACCTAATATTCTATAATAGATATAGGTTGACCTGGCCTAATAGCACTTTTTAGTGTAAGAAATTATAGTCTATATAGAAAATTAAAAAATTCGCTCTTCACTTGATGTTATTTCACACCTATTTCACAATTCATCAGCATATTACTGTCATCGATAAAGATCAGTACTTCATGATATGATAATAATAACATCTGTCAAAAGCACATGCCTGCATTCTCACGCTATTCGACACATACATCATACTTCGCTTTTAAAGCACTTATTTTTAAGGCCACATGCAACAATTTTGGCAACGATTCCGGTAACAACACAAGTACGAAAATTCTTAAGATGGGTTCGTGTTGCAGTAGTGATTAAGGGAATTTGTTTGAATAACATGCATCACGGTACTCATGCTTATCTGTAATTCACGATTTCCCAATTATCATTAATTTAGGTCATCTATAAAAAGATTATTTGCATATTTAAACGTTGTATTATATATAAATATGAAACAGTGGAAGGTACTCTCTGCTATTATGACATCTTGCACATGCCCAATGCAAATAACCAAACATAACAAATTTATATTAATTTTACTTTTCGAATCCTCACAACTTTGTATTCACATCCTAACAACTTAATAATATATATTACAATTTTTTGTCTTTTCTTACAAATTGTTCTTTGGACATACAGTCCTGAATTAAATTATATTATTACATTACCTTTTTCCATTTAATACTTGTGTATTTGGATTTTTTTCAATACATTTTAAGCTAATATATTAAGTTCTTGCTTGTGCAAACGGCAGATATTGACAAATACTCCTTGTTTACAAGCTGAACGCCGGAACGATAAAAAAGCAAAGGGGGGCAAACGCACACCTCTATAGATCCCGGTGAAGATATAAACCTACAATAATGTGTTGACTTGCCAATGAAAGCAAACGCACTTAATCAGGTCACATTCAAGATCATACCTCATGATTTTGCCAAAAAGCATCACTGGAAATGTGATTTATAAGGTAGTAGTTTACATCTCAAAGGGCACTTCTGCCCCCCCCCCCTTGCCCCTCCTAGCAAAAGGCAAGAGGGCCAGCTGCCCCTCCTGTCCCCCCAGTTCCGGCGTCCCTGCACATTATCTATGTTGTTGTCTTGGTTTATGCAAAAAAATGATTGGTTCATCGTCACGTGTGTATTGTTTTTACGCCCAACCAACTAATAGTGTTGGTTTAATGACCCAGTCGTGACATTACACAATGGTTAAATGAAAACATAGCTATTGGTCATAATACACACGTGACGATGAACCGACCATTTTTTGCATAAACCAAGACAAAAACATAGTTAATGAGGTCTGTTACATGTCTGCATCGGGTTCTCTAACCTTCTTTTTCTATAGACCTTTCCCCTTTTGAGTGAAATTTTGATCTAGACAAGTCTAAACAAAAATTTCGTCACAGCTTGAAAGAGCATCACAAAATTAGTAATATTCCGACGTTTCGTTGCGAAATGTTGTAAAATGAGGAAAATTGATAATCAGATGATCAACTGATTATCAATTTCCCATTTGTAGCTAATGCAAAATGACTGAAAAACGGCAAACTTCGCAGGGCTATATTATCCGCATTTTACAACATTTCGCGACGAAACTTGGGAATATTACTAATTTTGTGATGCTCTTTCAAGCTGTGGTGAAATTGTTGTCCAGGCATATCTAGATCAAAATTTCACTCATAAGGGGAAAGGTCTATTGACTATGATGTGAACGTTCCAACGAATTTGTCACGCTGCCGCAGTACGGACATGAATAACGTCTTTGTGTAGACCTCTTCTTCTCTCGAACATTGGCACAAAGAAGGCGAAAAGCTATCTAGCCAGCTTACCTTGCGAGCGTTTCAACTATTGGGTAATACAATTATTACCTTCTAAATTATTGGCCAGTTCTTCAGCATACTCATCAGCTAGAAATTTTTGGAACTCGTCGATATCGCTCGTGAGTTCACCGACTTCGTCACTTAGTGATTTTTCGTGATTACCAGTTCTTAATCCTTCAGCAGAGGCTGTGAACGTAAATGTTCAAGAGAAATTAAAATAATTTAAGTTAAACAACGAGTTATTGGATGGCACTTTCAAAACAATAAAAAGACGATACTAGTACGTTTCTCAGAATAGTTGCGAGGGATGAACCAGGCGGGAATCGTAATCTAATAATAAATATCAATGCCCAGCATAATGTCCGTATAATAATAGCCATAACAAAGAGAAATTTTCATTGTAAATAATTAAATTGATGAAAATTTCTCTTTGTTATGGCTATTATTATACGGACATGATTATGCTGGGAATTGATATTTATTATTAGTACGTTTCTATCACAGACAGAGCCGCCGCGAGGTTGCGCGGGGCCCGGGGCAAAACGTTCCCAGGGGCCCTAAAGACCATCGTTGCTTTAGGGCCCCTTTTGATCTGGGGGCCCTGGGCCAACGTGCCCCCCCCCCCCGTCCGTATTGGCGGTCCTGATTACAGGTTATTTGTGGGTAAGTGGAAGTGTCATCCTCACTTGCAGCCGAGAGCTAAGCTGAATTGCGAAGGACGCAGCTTAACAGGGCGCCTCTGAGAGCCACTTTAAGGGTCACCCTCTCAACATAATCATCTAAGGCCAAAAAAAAAATATGGGGGTTTCCGGTTTCCCGACCCTACCTATGCTTGTAAGTGTTTCCACTTAGAGGAAAATGTTTGTGGAAAATTGAAATTTGAGGAAATATTAGGGAAATTTATCTTTGGATGTGGAAGCACTGACTAAACAAAATGGCGTCCGCTTGTTCGGAAAATTAAAAAAAAAGTTAAAAAAAAAAAGTTAAAACCGACCTACCCTACCTAAGTTTTTATAAGAAGAAACCGGAAACCCACATTTTTTTTTTGGCCTAAGCTGAATTGCGAAGGACGCAGCTTAACAGGGCGCCTCTGAGAGCCACTTTAAGGGTCACCCTCTCAAAATAATCATCTAATTACTATCTTACCTCCTGTGCCTAAGAGTAAAGATAATTCTAAATCACGACCTTCCTTTCTCTGATAATATAATCTCATTATATCCTTTAATTTATTCACATTACGACGAAGCTGCGGTTAAACAGAAATCCATACGTAAGACATGTACATAATAATGAAGAATAATAGGCAGAATGTGAACAATGAGTAACTATATAAGGCACGGGAAAACAATGGAATTTTCAAAACAATGGAACATTCTAATTCTTGGTTTGCACATGACGTCATGGCGGCCATGTTGAAGCAACGCTAACAAAAGAATCCAATTAATTGCATTTGGAGCGTGTTTTCTTCCAAAATGGCTGCCATATTTTCAAAGGGATTGCCGTCAGTATTGTTCTTTGTTAAGTGTTGTGCAAAAGCCCATTTAAGATAAGAAAGACTGTTTCGAAATAACTGTTGAAAAGGAATGTTAAGAAATATCAAATACTTCTACATACGGATCGATAAAAGTACCTGTTTATAAATTTTTCTATTTGTTTCAATAGCTTCTTTATTATTTATTATCTGCAACTGTAAAAGAAAATCATCGTAATTTTACATTTTTCTGTACCACATCCATGACATAATAACAATAAAACTGAAATATTTTTTAAAGGAATGAACCAGCTTCGATCATGAAAAACTTTTAGATGGACTTGCCTTTTTTAATTTATCACCGATGTCCATATTCTCTTCCACAGCATCTTGATATTGTGACGAAAGCTAAACGAGAATGAACGAATAGAAGCTAAATTTCATTTCATTTAATTTAATTTAATAATTTCGTCACCTTTATATAGATATATACAAAAAATGTATACTAGCAAACAAGCAACACTAACACAACATTCTTACAAGATAACACACTAAACATAGACGTGACTGGAGAAAAGAACAGGACTTGCGTCCCAAATGACACTTTACCCCTATCAATACTAGTATATGATTAAACAAACAACTATATTATATAACATTAAATTTACTTAGATGCAGCCAGGAGGACTATATGATGGTAATTTAGCATTATAGAAGTCGCGTAGCCTGGCTCTAAATATGGATATACTAGAGTTAATTACTAGAGGTTTCTTTTTTTTTTCATTTGCTATGCTTGTGATTACAAATCGTATTATTATGTTTGTGATGTTACTCTTAGTGTGCATCCACACCGGGCAAGCTGAAAAGTTAGCTTGGCCACGGTGGGAATCGAACCCGCGACCTTTGGGATACTAGTCCAATGCTCTGCCAACTGAGCTACGTGGTCAAGTCGGTTCGAGTTGATATCATAGAATACAATGATATTGAAGGAACTAGACTCGGTTCCGAAATATCATCAACTCGAACCGACTTGACCACGTAGCTCGGTTGACAGAGCATTGGACTAGTATCCCAAAGGTCGTGGGTTCGATTCCCACCGTGGTTAAGCTAACTTTTCAGCTTGCCCGGTGTGGATGCACACTCAGAGTAACATCACAAACATCATATTCACCTGAGTACATAACACCAACACACACAAAAAATCTTATTATTCTTACATACTCCAATCTTTCAAAGGTGGTAAGCAGATTCAATCTCACAGTGATTTGTAATCTTACTTGTTTCATAGAACTCTTGAGTTCGCTGATATTTAACTCTTTCGTTGAAACTTCTTCACGTAATGCAGCAACTGTATCCTGTACGAAGTAACGCAACTGGATAGTCATTATACATCAAGAGCGATAACATATGCAGCATTTGGGAACTTCTTACATCAGGCCTAGAAAATATATTTCTCTTCCTGGCAGCAAAATTGAAAAATAAAAATTTCCTAGTGTAGGTCAACGTATGGTGCCGCACATTGTGATAAACTTCAGTATGGGCACAAGACGCTTTTGTAAACAATAAGTAAATTATATGGCATGCAGTCCAGTATAAGATGACAGAAATTTCCTGCAAGGTAAGAAAATTTCCTGCGAAGATATTTTGGTAAAAATTTCCTGGCAGCTGTGCTGCTGGCGCTGCCGGACATTTTCCAGCACTGTCTTACATACCTCCTCCTGGGATAAGCGTTCCACCACCTTTTTCTGCGATTCTTGAGAATGGAGATAGAAGTTTTTTGCTTTCCTCTGTTTTTCTTTAAGTATCTGAAATACACCAATACGTTATTGGAATGGAAACAAGAAATTGCAATATCCAAAATGTATTAAAGTTTCTGAGAAAATTGGTCAAACCTTTTCCATTTTAGCTAAGTCAGCTTGCAGTCTTTCGTTCTCAAATGTCATGTGTTCTAGTTCTAACGCTTTTGAATGCATTTCATCATTCTTCATCCTGTCTTGAAGACTATAGATAATAATTACAATTAGAACAAATTAAACAGTAAAAGTAATTGTGTCATTAACTAAATGTAATTAGACAATTATATTCGTAATTAGAACATATACAAGATTCCAAAGATATTTAACATGACAGAAAAAATCCCCGTATATTCATAAGCAAAAACGGCAATTTATAAGAACGAAGGGTGAAGACCTGCCTAAAATGATCATGTTTTGTGATTGGCTTTCAGAAACAAATCAGAAACAAAAACGATCATTGTTCGTGACTCGTTCTTTAGAAAGACGATTTCTATAGTTTTATTGTCTTTCATTGTTATAATCAACCAACCACGAGCCTGGATAGTATAGGTATAAATGACCCCTAAGAACCTAAGAATTTATGTGATCATCACCTATACCTTTTGACCATACGTCTCAAATCAGCATTTTCTCGTTCAAATCTGTCCGCATTTAAAGCCTAAAATGAGCAATACACAGCTTGAAACTTTGGACTAGTAAGATACTATTTAGTTACACAACACTATATTTGCACCAAGATTCACCTTTTCTTCGAGATCTTTCCGTCCAGAAGTTAATTGTTCCTCCTGTTGAGTCATTTGAGTTTGCAGCTTCGAACAGAGATGTTTCCAGTGTTTTAGCTAAAGATATTTGTCAAGAATGCTTTCTATACAGTTTGGAAGTTGCGTCAAATGAACTTATATTATAATGTTTTAAGTTGTCATACCATTTTTAATTTAAAGACCTGTTAAAACATTCCAACATCATCCTATTTTGTTTTGAACATGATGTCAGATGAACACATGACAACAATTACGAAGAGATAAAAGAACTTTGAGATATAAAGGATACTTCTTTACGAAGTTTCTTGTAGTCCTCAGAGGTTGGTAGATCACCTACATATTTATCTAAGTTTTCAATTCGTGTTCTACATTAGAAAAATTACATTTTAATTTTAATTTAAATTTAGTATAAACTGTACAGTACTGAATAAGTAATCCAGGAAAACATTATTAACTTTATATATTCCTCACCTTAATTCAGATTTTTCTTCTTGTAATCTTTTAATTTCTCTCTTTGCATGATCAAGTTCTTTGGCTTTGCCAGAAATCTGTGCAATTCAATGATAGTACCTTTACTTGATATTCTGTTGGAATATCTACAGTGAGTTCAAGTACAAGACTTGCCTGTGCTTGAAGCGTATTTGCTTCAACTTCTTTTTCATTTAAAGTTTCCTGAAGGACTTTCTCTGTCTTCTCAAGTTCATATTCTGCCTCACTAAGGAATAATTATCATAATCTGATGTTATCTGAGTTTTCCTCAGACTGTAGTAGTAACACTTTCCTCCTGTAGTAACACTTACTTGACCAAGAAAGGATGAAAACCTTCAACAAAGTATAGAATCTAACAGAGCTATCTAGTAATAATAAAGATATTTCAGTCTTAATTCCCCCTCTAATTCCACAAGTTTATTAAAGGTTGACCATGTAAAATCTTTGCCAGGAAGGACAATTTAGAACTATAGTGTATAAATTACATATTGCTATAAACACTTAAAAGCTTACCCTAAATTTCTTCTCAACTTTTCTACTTCATATTTTGGAGCAGTCTCTGATTCTAGCCTAGCACGTAAATGTTCAACATCTCGCTCTCGATCCTGGAGTCGTCTTAATAAGTCACTTGAATTTTGCGCCTCAAGGTGTTTTTCCAGTTGAGATATGTAAGCTCCTTGTCTACAATATATTTCATGAGGTAATCAAGATGGTATTTTGAAATTGCAATTGGAAAAGATAATCTTTCAGATACAGGTGAGTTGCATGACAGCTAGAGGGCACTGGCAGATGGTGGTTAACTTCAAAGCTGTTAACACTTATATGAGCAAACAAACTAAACTGCATGTGTTTCCCATGCATTTTGCCATTTAACCATTTAAGTTGCAATTACACCCTGATGTACTTTACTTTATTATTTTACTCTACCACCAGATGATTTTACTTGTCAAGGAGAGAGTGCTGCCACTCAATAGGTTAACTGGCACCAAATAAGATTACTACACAAATAATGAAAAATTATTTTCTCACTGTAATAGTACTACCATTTGACCAGCATCTACTTAGCCTGCAAATAAGAGCCACCAAGAAACAAGACAATCAAGTGGCTGTTATACTCACAGGCTGCCATCTGCTACAGTGAAGCTCAGTAAAATCTACCTGCATGCAAGAGTCAAATATGACAGACCAATGCTGGTGATATTTTACAATACATAATTGTACTTTACAGTAAATAAGTAATTATATTTTACAATAAGTAATTGTATCTGAATTCCCAATACAGTTGTGTCTGAATGCTACCAACATTCTCACAAAAAGTCATCACTCAAAGAGTTCTTAACATTAGGTAGTTTGGACATATAGCATACTGTAAATATACCAATTAAAAGCAGCTTAAGAGACTTACTTTTCCATAACCTCTTTGTTTTTTACCAGCAATTGATTTTTTGCTTGAATCTGTTCTATAAAGCTACTAGGAATGCTATTGTTAAGAGTCCATGAAGTATTACCAGGCCAACCAACTGGGTTATGAAACACTGCTGGCTCATGAGACGGTTGGATTGCCGGGCGTGAATTGTACACATAAAGTTGTTCGTAGTTGGTAACTGTTTCTTCATTCCTATTGGTTGGATGAAAGTGGGTGGGGTTTTGGTGTGATCCTTGGCCATTGAGTAGTGCGGAGTCTGAAAAAACCCAGAATAGGCAGATTATTAATCATGTGCATATGACCCAACTTCAATCCAACAACAGATATTCAATGGGGGTATGTCCAGCTGTGCTCATGTAGCCTCTCTTCTGAAAAAGTCAAGATAAACTTGATCATGAATAATATGTTTGATAGCTGATCTATGCAATGGTGCACCCTTCAATGAGAATAATAAATTATTATGCATTCCTAGTATTTTAATATCATTTTCATATATTTTCAGAGCTATACTGAACACAATGGGTTCACAATAGGCAATTTCTGTATTCTATTGTCAAATGGTGGGAAAATCATAAAAATTATCCCACATGTTGGCTATACTATTCTATTAAATGTAAACATTGACTCGTTGAAATTCACTGAATATTTATCTTGGGGGAGATTTATTGCAATACTGTATTTCTATGTCCTCTAAAATGTGTTACAACCACATAAAAATCACAAAACCATTATTGTTTACAGTATTTAACGGTAACTTTGATCACAAATAAATTATAACAAATTAATTATAAAGCGAGTTTTAATCTTGTCTGTTTAATAAACTGAGATTTTATAACCCCGAACATTTCTATTAGCGAAACAACAGCTTCTGGCGATATATTTCAACTAGACTGACTCTCTACTGGACTTTAAAATGCTTTTATAGAAGAACATGTCTTAACTTGAAATAATTAGATAATAAAAAGTACTTAAAATAATTAATTCCGACATCCGAAACTTGGACGGGCAAATATTACATGTTCAACAAGTCATAACAAATCGCCGAACAAACTTAGGTTAAATATATAAAAATACATGCTAACATATTTGTTGTACTCACATAAACCAGACATAGTCTAACAACATGAGAAAAACTGCCTTTTCCTTGGCTTTCTTCGTCGTATTATCGTATATTGAAATTACGCACTCCCCAACTCGAATTTCGCAGATTGAATAACAAATTAGCTATCTGCTGCTATTTATAGTCCTGGAATCGGAACAGGTCGTTATAGGCTCGGAAGTGTCCGACGCGCCACTTTTTGAAAATCAAAACAAAGATATTTGGTGACAAGATTTGATCATATTTTATTTTGATCAAAATATGGCACAAGTTTGTGTTGTGAATTGTTGTTCCTGCGAAACATTTCAGGGGCAGCAGGTATGATAGAAAAAGTTTTTTTTAAATAAGCAAAAATATTAATGTTTTCATAATTTCAACTGCCAGACTGCATGACATATTTCTTTCATCAGGTTAAAAAAGGGAAAAAATGGATGTGCAAAATGTGTGGTGAGAAGCAATCATTCAGAAAGATTTTTGCTCAAGGCAGTGGGAAGGAATGTCGACAAGTGGTGCAGAAATTGAACATGATCAATGGTAATCTAAAACGTCAAATGATGGAAGAAGGGTGTCTTCAGGAACGCAACAATGAAACAACTGGAATTGATGTTCAAGGAAATGAGGAAAAGTGTAGGATGAACCAGACAAGTAAATGGAACCAGTTTGTTTCGAGTGCTACATCCAATCCTACTGGTAGGTATATACAAAATTTTTCCCAGCAGACTAGCAGGGGAAACTGTAACCAACACCCTGGTCTTGAATTGAACACTGGGCTACTCTTAAAATTCCTTAGATATGAATTAAACAAAGTAATTGATTTTTTGTAATTTCCAGAAATTGAAGAGCTTCATGAAAATTCTACTGAATTCACAACAGAACGGGAAACATTTAAAAAGCACAGAGCCGAAAAACGAAAGAAACCAATGAAAGAAATAACATCAGATAATATGAATGAATATCAGCAAAGAAAAACACAAAAATTTAATAATAGCAAAAGAGCATATCCTCATGGCAAGACTGGTGAAAGTCATTTGGGCAATTTAGGTCATGAAGTAAATGATGCTTTATCACCGAAAAATGAAAGAAGCTGTACCAATGAAAAATTATCACAAAGACAAACACAGACATGTCCATCAACAGATGCATCTGGTCCTGCAAAATTTTCAAAATGGTCAAAATATACTTTATAGCGACTAACATGTTTAACAGGCTCTGTGATGCAAGCTAAATGCAGTATACCTATCAAATAGACTGAGTGTTTCAATGTATCTGTAGATATTCAGTGAATAAAACTTTGTTTATATTATTGCGATTTGTACATGTAAATTTAAACTCAAGCGCAGTCTCGCATTTCAGAATTTTTTCCGTCGAGCCGTGAGGGGCGGTCCTGGTGACTAGCATAAATAATTTCAAGATGGCGAGTTTCACAGGTTTAAAAGCGGTGGAGAGAGCTGGTTTTATAGCGGTAAAAATCATGTTTTACTTAGAGTTTTGTGTGTTTTATAATATTTTGTTGATAGATTTTTGTTTGATGTATATTTGAATGGTAAAATTTGCTTCTGTTGGTGTGAAAAATGATCATAGTCTGAAGTTTGTTTGATGCCACTTTGATATTTGTCAAAATATACAAATATATGATCTTTCTTTTTAGGCTCGGTCGTTCAGCACGAATGTAGTTAAAGCGTCACAAGTTAAGGTAGTAATGATATGGATGTGCAAAAACTGTCTTTGAAAGAACTAAACTGTTAGTTCTTGCAGTACAAATTTTTAACAGCAAGTGTTCAACACAATAATGACCCCCCCCCCCCGCCGCCCGGATTTTTCAACTTAAATTTTCCTAGGGGCAGCTTCTAAATTTTTTAAAAAATGGAAAAATTTGTTATATATGTTTTATCATGTATGTTAATCCACATGCATAAAAAATACATATAGTGAAAAAAATAATTTCCTGTTCAGGCTCCTGTAAAGGTATTTGGCATTGAAGGTCGTTATGCTCATGCTTTGTACTCTGCGGCAGCAAAGAGTAAGCAACTTGACAAAGTTGAGACAGAACTGGAAAAGTTGCAGGTAAAATGCTGAAATTTCTAAATACAAAGCTTATGATAGTTGTTAAAACTATGCATATATTGGCTTTTCTAGGGCTTACTGAAAACTGATCCAAAACTCGCAGATTTTCTGAAAGATCCTACTCTGAACAAGGTTAAAAAGCAAAGTAAGTGAAAATTAAACAAATTCAAGGTAGATTCCAGATCCAGTTTCATGATACATTTTGGAAGGGTCCAGTTTTCTAATAATCTTTACAGCTAAGTTTTTCTTTGTATTTCAGATACTTTGCAAGATGCCTTCAAGAAATTGAGTTTTTCAGATCTTACTATAAATCTTTTTGGTATGTCAGCTGTTAGGTGTCTCTGGTACAGTACACAATACAACCTGTTTTGTCCACAACCAAAGTATCTTCACTAAGAGCCGGTGTATTGTTGTTACAGATTTATCAATAATTTTCTATTATTTGACCAGGTGCCCTTGCGGAAAACAATCGACTGCCATTATCAGGCAATGTTATCAAAGCTTACTCACAGATAATGTCAGCTCATCGTAAGGAAGTACCATGTGTTGTCACAACAGCAAAGGTGAGAAAATAGTGGCTTAACTATTTAACAGGGTTAGCTAATGGTCTGCAGTGACACACCCATTTCACTTGATGCCTAAAATGAGTGGACAATATAAAAACAGGTATATACAGGTCAGGAAGTTTTTAAATACTTCAAGTTGTATCTTATCAATTTTAGGCTCTAGATGCAGCAAACATGAAAGAGCTGGAACAATCATTAAAAAGTTTTGTTAAACCAGATGAGACTCTTAAAATTGAAACAAAGGTGTGTATAAATAGACTGTAAAAGGGAGTTTTGTTATTTGAAAAGGGAGTTTTCCTTTTTGAAAATGGAGTTTTGCTATTTGAAAAGGGAGTTCTGCTATTTGAAAAGGGAGTTTTGCTATTTGAAAAGGGAGTTTTGCTATTTGAAAAGGAAGTTTTGCTATTTGAAAAAGGAGTTTTGCTATTGGAAAAGGGAGTTTTGCTATTGGAAAAGGGAGTTTTGCTATTTGAAAAGGGAGTTTTGCTATTTGAAAATGGAGTTTTGCTATTGGAAAACGGAGTTTTGCTATTTGAAAACGGAGTTTTGCTATTTCAAACAACCGACTCTAACGTTTCTGAGTGCCATCAGTGCAATCATGTTTCGTGCCAAGACATCTCAGACACATGATATACCAACTAAATTACAGTATTGAATACCTTGGACTTGGAAAGGTCATGTGGTACCAGCAAAAAATAAGTACGCAGATAGCAAGAGTTCCGCGTACCTACGTGGTACGTGGCTGAAAACAAAGAAGTACCAGACAGTAATATTGGCGTACCTCCGGTACGTAGGCCTAAGTATGCGAATTATCGCACCCTGTTTTATTACGAAAGTCACCGAACTATGGAATCGCATCAAAAATTCATATATCGACCACTCCCACAAACGTCTACGACCGCGCCTACATAGTTTTGCATGTTTACAATTCTAATTTTGAACAGCCAATCAGGTTCTTGGTAATTGGCTGTTTAAAATTAGAATTGTAAACATGCAAAACTATGTAGGCGCGGTCGTAGACGTTTGTGGGAGTGGTCGATATACGAATTTTTGATGCGATTCCACAGTTCGGTGACTTTCGTAATAAATCACCATACAAAATATCATAACCTTCAAAATTTTCATTTTAGATTGATCCAAGTATTATTGGTGGTATGGTCGTGAATATTGCAGATAAATATGTGGATATGTCGATTTCAACCAAAATTAAAAAGATCACCAGTGCTATGGAAGCAAATCTGGATTGATCAAACACAAACATTATATATAATTATTAAGTTTTGTCCACCATGCTGTGAACACTTTGCCTGTGATAACTTTATTGTTTTTGAGATAAAATAAATTTCTTAAAATACAATATGGAGCGTTATTTTTGGGAAACGCCAAGGGTAATGTGTGGGCCCCTTGTATTTGGGCCACAAGTAACATTCTTGCAACTCCGTCCCTGCAGAGTACTGATATCAGTTTTTCAGTATAGTGATTTTTATTGGCTTCACATATTAAACAATAACATTTGTGTTCAGAACAATGAAATTGCTTCATTCCTTAGAAATGCTCCATCCAATTGTAGTACATTTCCTTTAGTATTTTGAACACGGTTTCTACGCGCTTTCAAACATCCTTCAAACAAATTTCATTTTGTCAATACACGTTTTCGATAATAGACCTTATGCCTAATGACGTCACAAGGCTTGATGCCCGCGAGGAATGCTGGTCTTAATAGTCAATGCTCGGGAAAATTTCGATAGTGGCCATTTTGAATTGTTTAATTTTCCCGGGCGATGACCACTAAGACCAGCATTCCTCGCGGGCATCAAGCCTTGTGACGTCATTATGCATAAGGTCTATTACGTCATGACTGCTTCCTTGGACGGCTATTGGCTCGCGATTCACGAGAATAGGAGTAGGACTATGAGGTTCCAGGCAATTTGTGACGTGTGATTATCTAAAAGGATGTATTTGCAATACGATGGATGAAAAACGCCAGAAAATATTATGGTGATGTGAGCTCACACTAAATAATTATCATACTGAGGGGTTTACTGTAATGGGAGATAAAACCATTCGGTTTAGCCAAAGTAAAAACGATCAAAGTGTACCAAACGTACAAGGTCATAAATACAATCCAGAGCCTGAAATAACGGCCGGCGGCCGGCGGTTTTCCGACCAAATTCCGATTTTTCCGACCAAATGCTGAAATGATCGGAAATTTTGTCCGGCCAAATTTTGAGAAAAAGAAAAATGTTTTCTTAATGATCGGGTCGGCGCTCAGCACAGTGAGTACCATCTGTAAGTTTGGATTATCTATATTAGGCTAATATAAAGTAATCAACTGGAAGGTATAGTTTCACGGGCCCAATAAACAAGATGGCGGCTTACAGCGTGGTGTTTTCGGGTCAAGATAAAAAACAGGGCGCTTATATATATGTATATATAGGGGGGGGGGGGTGGACTTGGTCAAACTAAACTAAAAAAAATTCCGGTCAATTTTGCAAATTTCCGGTCAAATTTCATTTTGATCGGAAGTTTTTCCGGACAAATTTTAAAATTATTTCAGGCTCTGCAATCTATCTACAGTATTATAATTGAGATATACTATTAACAAATTAAAAAATAATAAAGTCGACTATTAGGATACGTTCAAAGAATTCAAGCATATGATCGAGGTTAGACAAACGTTTATAAACGATGCCTCATCAGCATAAAAATCCTCAAAAACACAATTGGTAAACGTAAAGGTATCATTTTCGCAAACTGCGCCAGTGCGGTGCCAAAGCTTTTCAAATTAAAACTAATACAACTTCGATATGTGGTGCTACAGTGGAACCCTTTGTGAATAAAGGAATACCGAATGGTTTTCTGTGCAGGATTTCGTGATCTATGCACGAGGGATGTCGCGAGACTTTCGGAAAGCGTAAAAATACTCGAGCCGCAGGCGAGTGTATTTTTATGCTTTCCGAAAGTCGAGCAACATCCCAAGTGCATGAATCACGCTATCCTGCTCCATTTGGTGATTGTTTTATAAAATAACTATAGTGAAACAATGACATTTTGAGAATCCCGCAAAAATCCCGCGAAGGCATTTTAATTCCTCGTGCAGGATAGTCTGATCCTGCCCGGCTATTGACCAATCAAATTGCGTGTTTCACTGTAGTTATTATAGAAACCTATTTACTGTATGTACATTTAAAATCTCCGCTGTGGTTGAGGCAAAAACTGGCTGTTACCAGGAGAGTTAAATGAATTAGTCTGACGTTGACTACTGCTAGACCTGTTTGACTGGTGATTGTTATGAGATTGTTGATGATGGTTATTTGATACTTGATATGCAAATGATGCATGAGCTTTTCCGTGATTTCCACCTGAGGTACGCATCCTTTTGTTGGGTGGGTGATCACTATTTCCACTCGTATCTTGTTTACTGCCAGCAGTCTGAAATATGTCAAACAAAATTGGTTTAGCTTAAAGGTGCCCTACAGTCCGTATGTAAACAAAGCCTTTGTTTACATTTTTGTGTCCAAAATATTGAGCTTTATTCGACAACTATTTATATTATCAAGCTTCTAGAGTATAATAAATGATCAAGAAACAACAATCAGGCTTTGCAAGAACCCAAAACATAGTTAAACTGTTTGTATCATAAAAAGTGGGCTCCTTTGTGTACATGCGCAGATCGGACTGTAGGGCACCTTTAATTATTGTCTAATTATAGTTAAATGTAGCCTAATTAACAAAGTTAGCTTGGGTTAGGCTAATTAGCTTCATCATTGTGTTAGCTTGTTTGCTGTTGTTTTGTCTCCAATTTGTTGGTTTTACTTGTACAGGTAAGGCATACTGTAAAATATCATATATATTTTCGCCGTATATTTAGCTCAAGAAGTATAGGACACCAAATTTCCCAGGGTATGGATACCTAAGCTTGGCAGAGTCAGGCTAGAAATGTGGCGCAAATAATTACTTTATGCATGAAGTAGCAGTTCCATGAGCCTCGTGTGGGACTAGCTTGTGACTGTGGTATATAGTCATATTTGCAGACTCTGGAATTTTCCTTAAACTTTTGTAGCCAGTACAAGCAAAATGAAAAAATTATTCAATCATATTGAAACAAACCTACCTTATTTGATTTCGTGTCATTGTCTTCCTCGTTAATAAATTCTCTTTTTGGGTACGGAATAGGATCAGGTCCAAAAGCACTAAGAATCCACATAAAAATATATCTAACAAAACAGTTGGATCTTTGTAATAGTGAAAACACAACAACTTACTCTGCGAGTGGCTGAGGCTCTTCTTTAAAATAAGCATCGTGTAAGGCTTGTTCTGCTGTCATTCGTTTATTGGGATCCATCACAAGTAGTTTGCCTAACTATATACAGCAAGAAGATAGAAAGTCCCAAATATGAATTTTTGCTGGCTAATAGAGCGAGATAATAAATTTCTTATGTGAGTTATGATCTTACCAGCTGAAATGCTTTGCTATCAGGGTGAACTTTATACTTTTCCATATATGACGAGAGTTGAAGTCCATGATAGCTTAGAATCAACAAGAAAAACAATAACTAGTCAGATTTAAAGCTTTCAAAGCCAAGTCTCAAACAAACAAAACAATGATAACATATGTTGCATGTATGCTACCTGCTTTTCTTGAAATCTTTCATTAAAGTTGGATGTTCTGGCATTCTTTTTATGTCTTCCCAATCTTTTTCTTAAAGAAAGTGAACATACAGATTAAAAAATTACATAATCATCTTTACCTAATATTGACCACAATCCAAACTTTACCTACTCTTAATTCAATCCAACCATACTTTAATCATATTTTAATCTTACTAAACTTTATGAACACAGAGGTCCAGTTGTGGTCATGCTTTTTTCCATCAATTCTAGCTTTAACCGGCTAACTTCTACATAAATCCAATTATCGTAAATCAGATCTTAATTGCAGCATAATTTAATCTTAATCTAATCCAGTCTAACTAATCACATCTTACTAGTAATCTCATCATTATCCAATGTACATAACTTATATTCAGGGAAGCCCATTACTTGAAACATATTATTATAGAAATAATCTAAATCTTCATCCAATATTGATCTTAATCTTAACCTATTCCAATTAAAACAAATCTAATCTAACTAATCAAATCTTAATCTCACAATCCAATCTAACCTTGAGGAAACCCCATTACTTGAAATATTCTATCTAACTGTTCTCTATGATATGGATTGCTTGTCTTGATGTCTTCTTGTCGACAGTGGAATATTGGTTCAGACGTTAACAGTTCAGCAAATATACACCCAATGGCCCATATATCTAGAATGATAAAATAAGAACAATTTTCAATAACCAGTTGAGCTACAGAGTACAGACTACACAAATATATTACAATATTATTTACTATAGTCTAGCCATAATCAACAGTTTGGCTTCATATTCAATATATAAAAAATGAAATACATCTTACCAATTGCTTTTGTGTAATGTCTTGCTCCAAGCAACAGTTCTGGAGAGCGATACCAGAAAGTAACAACAACTGGATCAAGATCAGCCAATGGCTTGAGTGGATTATTGAACAGTCGAGCAAATCCCATGTCAGCTAAACAGGGAATATTATTCATAATTCATTGTAATTTAATAACCAAATTCAAACATGCAAGTTCACTAAAATATTTTCATAATTTTCCATAATTATACTTACCAATTTTTACTCTCCCTCTTTCAGGCCCTTCACCCATCACAAGTATATTGGCTGGCTTCTACAACATCATAATATTATCAGAGCTTACATCAATCAAATATATTATAGCATCTGAGACTAATCCAATCTAATCATAATCTAGCACTAATCACAAATATGTCAATCAAGATGAAAGAAAAATATAAACATGTTGACCAATCAAATTCAATGTTGAAAAATTGAAGAGTGCCAGGTTTTACTGTAGCCAGGTTTTACTGTAGCCCACTTGAAATCCTCATTTGTCTTTTCTATTCCAAAAAAAGCTGGCTATAAATCTTATGCTCTAAATTCCACCCACAAAAAGTCATCAACATTATACTGTAGAGGCTATATTAAACTTGCAACGGAACTTTTATCTAATATCAATGATTTAATCTTAATCTGATGTGTTTGATTTCAAGTGAAGCCAAGATATGCAGCTGCATCAGAGATGATGTCGTTGAATGATGAAAGCTTAGATGATTGTATTTTAATATTTTTAATAAAACAGCCACATATCTTGGCCTCATTCAAATCAAATACCTTGATAAAAAATGCTGTTGAAGGACAACTTCAAAGCTAATCTAATGTTGAGTTGATCTATTCAATGATTTCATTCTGACCACCACAATGTTTGAGAAATGTCAGACATACCAAATCTCTATGTAAAATCCAGTTCGAATGAAGATAATGTATACCATCCAGTATTTGATAAAGCAAAGATTTTATTGTTGTTCTTGCTACAGGACATGGTTTCTTTTGAGCTTTATAACTACGATGATATTTGATGATGTGCTGAAACAATAAATGCATTTGATAAGATTTACCTGAACAATGAAACTGAATTTGCAAAAACAAGCACAGAAGACTTGACAGGGTTCGAATTAACGGATAGCGAATCGCGATTCGCTATCCGTTTTTGGGATTTCACTACTCATTTTGCTATACAGTAATATAAAAAAATCACTATTCAACCTGAGAAGATTTCACATGCGAAAAAGTAAAATGGATAACATTGGAAACGTTTGTTTTCAAACAATTCTTTGTGTATTTTGAGGGAAACATTCTCTCATATGCGCTGATATTTCTGAATAGACAATAAAATTGCGCCTTTTCTAATGGCCTCAAGCTGTGTTTTGATTTAATGTTTTAATATGATAGGCTGACATTATAAAAATGTGTCAAAATCCACTTAGGAAAGGTCAAATGTCATGCTACGTTCATGCCAACTATAATCAGATTTGAATTTCACAATCACTTACTATGTTTAAAACCCAAATCAAAATGTTCAATAACTTTCTAGTTTAATTCATGATGTGTAGTATGCAATGTATGCCAGTTTCTTTTTTTGCTTCTGAGCTTTGCCATGTTTACTTTTATATGTACAGTATTTTGTTTGTACTTTAATTTACTCTAACTTTGAATAAATATGCATTTTAATTTTAATAACTCTTTTAGATATTGCGCAAATTTTTACGGGTGATATTGGAAATTGAAATGATTTAATTTTACATCTTCGTTTTCTCTCGTTGTTGCCAAAAAAATAAAGACTGCTGAATCTTTATTATTATAACAGCCTTTCTGGTTGAAGATCGAATGCTCGATCCTTTTTTACTGTACAGTGGTGGAAATTCGCTATTCACTTTTTATTGCACGAGTCAATGGGTAGAAATTCGCTATTCACTTTTAAATATTTAATTCGAACCCTGAGACTTGACCTTTACATGAGACCAGGTGGCTCAGAATTGTAAACAAATTTTACTGATTCCATTTGTTTACAGTTAGACGTGCCCAAATCAAGTTTCAAAAGTTGTAAATGCAAAAAAAAATGGCATAGATTTCTAAATTCATTTGATCTGATTTGAACAGAATCAAAATCATACCCATAAATCATGCTCAGCATAATCAAACAGCAGCCACACTTTACGGTCAGCATGAGACAAGAAAACTTTTTGAAGAGAGATGACATTTGGATGACGAAGTTCTCGTAATAACTACAAAAGCATTAAATACAGTAGACAATAAGATGACAGGCTTTAATATTATATGTGGAAACAGATATTTTTTAACTGAAGTGGAATGACATACAGCAATTTCACGACATGCTGACATTGAAATTCCAGTTCCCTCGATAAGTTTCAAAGCATATTGATTCTTTTCAGATCTAGATGAAACAAAATGAAAGGCAAATATAATTAAGACTTCCACTCAGTGTATTTTTTCACAAAGCGTGAATTTTTTCTAGAAATATGACCCAATTTGCTTGCTACAGAACGAGCAGGTGAGTACATATCTTTTTGACCAGATAGTTAACCATTAACTTATTAAAATACGGTTAATAATTAATATTAATTATTAACTTTCTTCATTAAGGTCTCAATTTTAATACTAATTAATAACTTGTTGTGAAAATTTAATAGGAATTATCCACAAGGCAAATGTTGAAATGTGCCATTAAAATAACAATATGACATCAATTGACACGTTGCTGTATGTATTAAAATAAAATTTTAAAAACTAGATCAAGTACTTACGGTCCTTTTTCGCCGGTCTTTGACTTAATTCTTGCTTTATAAACATGACCATAAGTTCCTCGGCCTATTTTACATCCCTCATACTCAAACATATCCTCGACCCTTTCCCGCTCTTCGCTCATTTGTCGCTTGTATTCGTAGTCCATGGTTATCAGGCTGCTTTCTAACTAAGCGACTACAACAGGGGAATTGAGAAGAAGATATATAACCCACACAGGCTACAATTTTGAGGCAATTTTGACGCATTATTTATTATTTCTTCTCGAAAATCGATAAAAATAGGACGCCATCTTGATTTTAAGCATAATGGTGCTTCCATTTAATAAGCGCAAATTTCAAATATTTAGAAGTAAATATACTGTAAGTGGAAGCGCACCTGGAAAGTTTTTGACCTTGACACGTAATCATTACGTAATCATGTGTGTTGGTGCGTTTTGGTTGGTTGTAAATATTAGGTTTTGTTTTGGTATTTAAATTATTTTTATAATGGCTCTTCCAAGAACTTTTGTACAGTATATGTTTGGAGTGTAATTCATCAAAAATAAATCTTAAGATTTAATATAAAATACGATGGAAGGACGGTATAATCTAAAAAGCCCAGGTATCTTTCAGTGACATACTGACATTGTTTATGTTTACATTTTAGTAACACCGAACAACACCGAACATCAGAACTCAATTTTGTTTTATATCTGAATTTACTAATCGTAAATGTGGGTCTTAATTCTTCCAAAGAGTCAATGTATATCTTACATTGTATATAGTAGAAAGACATTTTATAATTGAGTCCCGATGCTTTCATAGTTTCACTTTTAATTAGTGAAATTATAGACATACTGACACAGTAGGGTGTATTGCAGTTTAATAGGTGACAAAATGCACAAGTAGATAGTCTAGTTTACCCATCAATGTCCAATGCCTCTCCTAGACACGTAAAATCATCTGGCATCAGGCAAAGTAAAATAAGTAGGGTGCATAAGGGTGTATTTGTGGTTTACCAGTGCATGGCATTGTTTGGAAACTGACTAGTCCACATATTACCCTGCTGGGCTGCTTATTAACAATAACCCCACTTGGTCATGTCATCTGCTCTGAGTTAAGCAGAGAACTTTCTATGTCATATTCATATAACATGGTATTCTTGATTTTTTTCTGACAGCTGTAAAGCGTCTTATGAGAGAAGCTAAAGAACTATGTGAAGCTACATCACAATACTATGCACAACCTCTTGAGGTAAGGTAGGCTTTCACTAGTTGATGATAAGCACAATCAAGCAAAAAAAGCACCTTGGATCACCGAGGCTCGCTATTTGTCAAGCACCTTTGTTTTGTAAAATTTGGCACCTCTATAAACAGGCTATGATTAACAAATGTTCTGGTTTAATTTTCAGGACAATTTGTTTGAATGGCATTTCACCGTTCAAGGTCCAGCTGACAGTGATTTTGAAAGTGGACGTTATCATGGTCGGATAATATTGCCACCCGAATACCCCATGAAACCACCTAGTATCATGCTTTTAACTGTAAGTACATCAACATGATAAATTGAATAGGAGTGGTAACACTTTTATATCATACACAACACCAGCACTATATCTTCCAGACCACCAACACCATCATTGATCAACGACGAAATCACCAATTCTGACCACAATCAAAATCCTCTTTGAAACAAATGAATTTCTAAAAATCAGCCCAGTATGCATCTTAATTTCCTTTCTCCTGTCTTGTTTTCGTTTAGTACAAAGTAAAAAATATTTAAAAACTGACGTCAAATATTTTGTGTTCCAGCCAAATGGCAGGTTTGAAACTGGTAAGAAGATCTGCCTAAGTATGTCAGCACATCATCCCGAAACTTGGCAGCCTTCTTGGAGCAGTAAGTGTGCCTAAGATCCTAAGATGTTGTGTTATCTGTTTCTGCAGATTGTTTCTTTTGGCAGTTGTTGTATGGTTGTCTGTACATGTTTTAGTTCGAACTGTCTTGTTGGCGATCATTGGTTTCATGCCATCGAAAGGAGGAGGAGCAATTGGTGCTTTGGATTATACCAGTGATGAAAGAAAAATATTGGCTAGAAAGTAAGGGGTTGTTGTTCATCAAAGAAATTTTTATTTCCCACAAGTTTGTGGATAAAGTTTAAGTCTGTCAACTCAATGAAGTGCTAGCACTCTCCCCTTGACAAGTGAAATTGTGCGGCATTATCAGAGTAAATAATAAGTAGGGTGCTTTGGGGTGCAATGCAACTTAATGGGTTAATATTACTGTGAATTTGTGGTAAGAGTATCCTAGAAACGTATTGTAAATATTTTATCTTTTTCAGGTCAATGAAATGGACATGTAATGTTTGTGGTAGCTGCAACGCAGACTTGCTCAAAGAAGGTACGAGGGAGTGCAGTGGATTGTCAGCAAGGTGTGAAGATAGATTCTAATGTATTCATTTATTTTTTTCCTCAGAAGATTCCAAAAATAAGCGAGAGGCAAATGAAGAAGATATGGAATTAGCATCACAAATCAGTTTTAAGGTATTGCATCCAAATGAAAATGTTTTGCAGAATCCTATAACTATTACATTCAGGACAAGCATCAGTCAAACATATCAATTTCACATCTTTCCAAGATTAAAGTTGTTGGGCATGTACGTCTGGAAAAAATCACATCTTCAAGAGGAACACCTATCTAAGAATGACAGTATCTTTATATATAGTAATGTGCCTTCAGACACTGCTCTTCACTCTATACAGAGACATCTCTCAAACACTTTAGAGCTGAACAAGACTAAAGGAAAATCATTTTATACAAGACAACCACCATTCTAACTAAGGCAGACAACTTTCTAAGAACACCTCTTTATGAAGAGTCCTTTCCTTAGGCAGACAACCAATCAATCCTCGGTACCTTTTACACCTTAGTCTCCCTTGCAAAAGGGCGGCTGTGAGGGAGACTGTGCACACTTTGCAAAGACGAACACCTCCTTATTCTACAAAGTAATAGATTGAGAGTGGAATAGTTTCCTTTTCTTTGTTTAACAGGGTGAAAATGAAGCGAAAATGGAAGAGAAGACACATGTAGACGGTTCAGTTGACATGCCAAATGGCGACATATTGACCAACGGACAAAATATTGAAGATATTTTATCAGCACAAGATGAAGTAACCTCCAACACGGCAGATACCAGAGAGACACACAACTCTGCAAATGTTGCGAGAAAGCGCGCGCGAAGAAGCTCAAATGAAAGACATGACAATAGAGACAGTTCAGTACAATCCACAAGTACTTCTCAATCAAATGGATATCTTTCGCTTGTTTTAATACTTCTTTTTACTTTATTCCTCATAATTTTGCTGCTTCGACGGGTTTACTACAAGTAATCATACATTTACATGGGAATTTGTAAAGATAAATATTATGAATATGAGCTAAATTTTGTATAGGGACGTATTAGATGGGATTTTTCACAGTTATCTACTTTTCATACAAATACAGTATTATACGCAAGGTTTATTTATAAATGGGAATCTGTACAAATAAATATTGCCAATAAATAGAGCTGAAGAGGAATAAGTAAAGTAGTTTTGTTTGAAACACTTGAACCGGTGGTATTAAAGAGAGTGATTTTACAGTTACTTTGGAATCGACTGCTCGGTTCTATAATTAGATGAATTTTTGAAACGCAACATTCTCACGAATGATAATTTATTTTCGTAGCCACAGAAAAGAGTGAATTATAGTATTCTGTATCTTATCCAAATCTCACGCAAAAGGCCTCTAGACTAAAGCTTTCTATGAATCAGAATGCTGTTCAGTAGTTTTGTTACCGTAATATGCTTCTAGTTTTACTACGCAAGTGAAAAAGCGCGCGCTTTAAACTTTCCCGCTACTGGTGGTACCATTCTCATCGACCCTGTTCAGTCCTAACATTACTATCAAACGCGCGGCCTCGTTGCGTTTCCATGCGCGCCAATCATCCTGTAAGATCTTAAGCAATTTCTCCTTCATATTCTTCATATCAAGAACAGCGACATGATTTGTATAATTCCCGTCCACGAGTACAGCCAAGCAAGCAGTTGCGCCGCGACGTAAAGCGAACACGCGACAATCCAGAAGGGTGTACAATGTCTCTAATAACCCATTCCAGCGTGCTTTCTCTTGATTCTCCTTGGTTCCGACACACACTTCAATAATCGAGTACAAAGTTTGCTTTTTAAGTTCAACTGGTTCATCGTCGTCTAGGAGGATTCGACAGAACTCCATTAAATGACTCGAGGCAAATTTAGCAACAGCAGGACCGCCCAGCCATGCGATATGGCCGATATCTCGTACAGCGTTGATCTGCTCACGAGGATAAGGTGATAAGCTCAACTTTTTCCCCGCGATTACGATATCTCTTTTGTAGTAATTGTCGTCCATAATCGCTCCGACATCATCTAAATGTTGTTCGCTGGCCGACTGTTGTTGCCGACGTTGGAATATGCCAAAAACTGACGAGAGAAATCCCAGAATTGACGAGAGGAATCCTGGAATTGCTACCATGTTTGGTGGTATATTTTCACGGAAATGGTAAGACGTGTTCTGGTTTACGTGCTAAACTACAAGTTGACATGTTTAACAAAGTTAGCGGCGAAAATTGGCATTGTGACGTCATAGATTAGTAGCCATCTCTCAAAAGTCGAAAAGACAAGAGAAGACTATGCAGATCGAAAATTATCATCGTGACGTCATCAATTAAAAGCCATCACTCAAAAGATGATCCGAAGGACGCTAACAATGCATCTCAAAAGTGCATAATTGAAAGTTTCAACCGATTTTTTATGTTCTTACGAGAATATGTAACGTTGCATTAGGTACCAGGCCTGCTTGATCTAAAGTCTGCGTGACATCATCGTATACCATATTTGGGAATGACGTCTTGATCCGGTATTGATCATGCAATTCAGGTCTGATAAAGAAATGAAAAGCAAAGCTGTGAAGTCTAGTCTTTATTTTTTAAGAAACAGTACTTTTCACAGCACTCATTTTTCTGTCAGTAGGAGAGTTAAGGCCCATATCCACTCAAGAAATTTTCACGGACAGAAAATTTCCCGAAAATATCATTGTTAAAGGCCCATTTCCACTCAGGAAAATTTTCCGCGGAAAGAAAATTTTGTGAAATGTGATTGGCCGACACAAATTTTCCGTCCGAAAAAAAATTTTGAAGTTGAAAATTTTCAACTTTTAACAATGATATTTTCGGAAAATTTTCTGTCCGTGGAAATTTTTCTCGAGTGGAAATGGGCCTTAAAAGTTGAACATTTTCCAAAACTTTTTTCCGACGGAAGATTTGTGTCGGCCAATCAAAATTTTCGTGAGTGGAAATGGGTCCTTTATGAAAGGATTTAAGAAAAACAAAGAAAGCAACATGTAAACCTTACCTCACTACATTTATGTACTTTCGGACACTGGCAATGGTGTCAGTAAACTTCAATTTCAAGATATACGTCTGTAGGAAATAAGACATAATTGTACAGTCACATGAAACGCTTTTGAACTTGTATATAGATCAGCGTTTCCATACCTGATCACCTTTTTCAGATTTTATTCTTAATGTTGTGACATTATAATTCACGGACAGCGGTCGATCCCCACCACTTTGCACCCTGTAAAGAACAGATCATGCTGTCAAGGCCGCTTTCCATTACTTCCAGTCGGCATGCTTCAAACGTTTCACAGTGGGGGGGGGGGGCAAAACCAAGATTAGGGCCCAGTGTGGGCTCCCAGAGTGAGATTTAGGTCACTCAGGTCACGTCTGCGCTGAAGAAGCCCTGGGTACGAGGGTGGGCTCATTTCGCGTACACCACACGAGGTAAAAATTCTACGCAACGTTTTCTCTGAATGAGCAAATGAAGATATCGAAACAGATTTAGTACAAGATCTTGAGTACTATGAAAAAGAAAATATATCCCCCAAAACGTCGGTTTGCTAACGTACAAAATCATAATGAAATTAGTGAACATATGTCATAATAAAAAGCTTTCATTATAACCTTTTAATTATCAGCCGAAAGTGTAATTAAACTTACTTATTTTGCAGAATATTTAAACATTTTTAAATTTAATTGAAAACCAAGCACTAATAATAAAATAATTATTGTGACTCATATATTCTCAGTTTATGTTGGTTAATTTATTTAAAAAATGAGAGGGCTGGAAAGGGATATTAAAACGGATATTAAAAAAGCAGCATTCTACAGATATACAGTATATTTAAAAACACATCGTATTTTTCTCAAAGTATACGTGGTTTTTGTGTCATTAATGACCAAGAACAAGGCTTAACATTTTTTTATTAAAAACGACGTTTCAGAGTTTACTTCATCATCAGGTTCAAATACAACATATATACTCCAAAGTTCCAAAACGTCATTTTTAATAAAAAATGTTTTTAAGTCTATTAAAAAAGTCTATTAATAAAAAAGTCTATTAATAAAATGAGGCAAGAGAATGTTCGATATTAAATATATACGTGGTTTAATAGAAGTGCACTAGGAGTGCTGAGTGGTTTTTGCGAATGTAGCACAAGTGAAGAAAAATAACTTAACTGACTTGTATGTAGGAGTTCATATAAAGTATTAAGTTGCTTAGCCGTATTTTGCCAAAACATTACTGTTCAATAGTTGGTGTGTTTTTTTGTCATTTTTGCACAACTCACAACTGAAAAATTGCCTCAACTTCTCGTACCTACAGTTCCTGCTAAATTACAGATGGATGTCAATTTCACAGGGTATTCGTTCAATTTCAACGAAAACTCCTGCAGATGTACTTGTTTATACATGAGCGAACTAAGAACTCCGGCAAGAGGCGTCCATCTTGCTACAAATGTTTCTGTCACAATAGCAAATATTTTCATTTTTATTCCAGGAATCGTGTTGAACACTCTGATCCTGAGTGCGTATGTGAAGAATAGACATCTTCATACATCCGCAAACATGTTACTTCTGGCATTATCGCTGAACGATTTATGTGTTCTCGTTCTTTCACAGTCGTTATGGGTCGCGAAAAAGATCTTACAATTATTTGTAACGTTTAATTGCTACATATGGGTAGCGAACATGTTAGTGTCCCAAGGTACCTGTGGCGTGTCGTTAATAATCATCACTGTGCTAAGCGTGGAGCGTTTCGTGACATTAGCCTATCCGTTACGTTACCAAGCCATGATAACGCGTGTTCGTTTGAAAGGTGTAATTTGCGTGTTATCAACACTTTGTTGGGTGTTCGTGCTTTGTGAAGTGTTCGGAATGCCAAATAACGTTGTACCCATAACGATCGGCGGTGCTACAACCTTTTGTATCATCTTAGTTATTGGAATATGGCTATGGATTCACCGTCTCATCTCAAGACATAAACGACAAATTGCCACTTTTCAACTACCCGCGTCCGCAATGACGAGCTTCAAAACTGTCATGCGGAATACCAAGACGGGTTACTTGGTGTCAGGAAGTTTATTTCTGTGCTTTTTCCCATCAGTTGTAGCGAATGCCTACTACATATCAGGAACTAAAAGCACGATGTTTTATTTTTACATAATTCCTTGGTTTGAGACGCTTGCATTTGCGAACGCTCTACTTGATCCAGTTATTTTGCTTTATCGGAAAAAAGATTTTAGAGAAACAATCAGACATCTACTATGCCAGTAAAACAATTTCTCTTTATGAAAATACATATATGAAATATACCTAGTCTTGATTTCTTGGATGACCGGAGTGTCAATGACAGTGACTTGACTTTCTTTGAAGCCAGCTGAAGACCCCGCCTAAAAATAACGAATCAGGAAATGTTTATACTTCATAGGATGTTGTTGGAACAATGGTAATTAGCACAGTCTAGCGTATGCAGCTCACTGAGTGGGATTCCATTTCTGCAATACGCAGACAACGGACAATGCCCGGCCAGAATGCAGAGTTGACCAACTTCACTTTCGGTAAAAGAACAAACTAATCTTCATTTTAATTAATAATCAAAATAAAGTTGTCAAGTCTTATAATTAAGAACCATAACATGTTGTCGAATATTTTGCGGTTACTGATTACAGTAAGGCTTTTTGTAATGCTATACTGGAAAAATAGTCACATTTTTAGGGGTATACTTTACAAGGCTATATGCTTTAAGCTGAATAATTTAACCGGCCAGAAATTCGGTATGTCCGAGCTAAAATTGAGTTAACCGGTCACCAGGTGACCGGCGATCCTCCAGCCGTTATTTCGCGCCCTGAATGGTGCCTAAAATGAGTGATTTTCGTGGGGCTGAGTACCAAACGCTACACAACTTCTCTGGATACTCCAATCTCCATTTGTAGTGGAAGCATTATGAATTCTGAAATCAATATTTGATACTGGTAAAAGATGATTTATTACGACATTTTTTCCAGCCTTCACAATGCCAGAAATGCCGTTTCAGAGACTCAAAATTCAATTTTCCCCCGGGGGAGTATGCCCCTTAGCCCCTTAGAACTGGCTTCACAAATTATTAAGTCCGCCCCCATATAAAATCTTGGCGACGTCACTGCAGAAAATGCGAATGTCAACATACCTTGATAGTGTTTTCTATGCCAGATCGAATGTCAATTATCTTGCCGTTCTTAATGACAGATGGAGGAAGACGTTCGAGGAATTTTTCAACTGGGACTTTTGTTTCTAAAAGTAAGAGTTAGACGTCGGCCTTCAATATACTCGTATTTACAGAGATGAACCAAGAATAGGACAGAATGTTAGGTTTATTTGAGATGCTCATTAGATGGAGGTAAAGGTTAGCCTGCTAGCAGACTCGCGTTTGTATAATATTACATGACACTTGTCATATATTATACAAATAATGTTTATGAGTGCAATGGTAAAAATATTTTCATGAGGTGAAAGATGGAATGTTCCATTCAACGAGGCGACAGCCGAGTTGAATGGAACATTCCATCTTTCACCGAATGAAAATATTCTTACCATTGCACGAAGAAACATTCATTATTTGTTTTATATAATACCAAAATAGACTAATAGATTCATATGAGAAGCATTTTGAGGGATGCGATTTATCGAAAACACAAAGAGTGCAATTGTACTATACGTTTTATTCCATTGCACTCGCGGAGAGTGCAATGGAACTCTCTCCTCCGCAGAGGCTTTAGTTTTCTTAGGATTTAATATTACGATGAGATACATTTCACTACACTTTACATGGCGGATCTTGGAACACGAGCGTAGCCGCTGGGCGAAGGAGCGCAGGCGGCAAAGGAGGCAATGGAACGTGTTCCATTGCACTCTTGGGAAATGGAATTTTCTATTCAATATCACATGACCATAAACAGCCAATTAAACGATTAGAATTTAGTAAGGTATTATATAAAATATACAAGCGTCTGCGAGCAGGCTAGGTAATAGTCTCCTACGTAGCCTGTTCGCGGGTCCGGGGTTTTCTCCACTGTTAGTGGAGAGAAAACGGGCCGAAAACCTCGGACCCGCGAACAGGCTGCGTAGGAGACTAGCTAGGTAAAGGTATCATGGCTTGTGAAACTCATTAATAATGCATGAGAAAACACAAAAGAAATCATGAGCGTGAAGTGAAGGATATTGTATATCTGATACAAAATCATGCTGATTTACATAAACTTCAATTTCTATTTTCTCACCAAATATCATTAATTTATTTTAAATTGTTGAAGAAAACGAATGTTCTCATCGAGACGTTTCACAAGCCATTTACAACATTCGCGGCGGTACTGTAGCGGATATATATCCGTAAATAGATATTGTTGGGGAATTTTAAAAAAGTGTGGGTTGCATGGATATTGTCCGTTAGTTAGGAAATAAAATTATACTGCTGTAATCAAAATAAATCCAGAAACACCTGTTTCTTTTACACTTTCCAATGAATGAATTTTTGTTTTGTTGCCTTCGTTTCCAACAGTTTCTTTGTTATTGTCCAGAGACTGACCAGAACCAGGAAACAGTAATTCAGTTCTTCTGTCTCGAAACACTACTTCTCTTTTGTCTATTACCTGAGCGCAATATAAACAGGACAGTACTCTATTAGATATGAATGGCGATATTGTTTTTTTTCCAATATTTCATATGAGTAGTTTTTTAGTTTTCTGACCTTGATGGAGACGCCATCTGGATACCTATCTTGCAATTCTGATGGGAAATAACCGTCCATAATGTCTTGAATACAGCGCTAAAACACATGCACGTCATGTATCAGCATTGTAGAAATTTATTTATCAACCTTACAACCTCAAACAAGGTGTCCACCCACTTGAATTTCACTTGGGTGAAGGTGAAATTCAAGGACTTTTCCAGGACTTTCAAGGCTCTTTTTCAGTAAATTCAAGGACCTAGAACTGTGCAAAATCTTTGAAAATGGGCAAATGGCACGGATTTGCCGTAAATAATTCACTTTATTCAGTAATTTTAATCATAATCACTAATGTTGGCACAGCTGGAGGTTAAGGAAATTAAATCCAGGACTTTTACTATTTTTTTTCCTTCCAATTCAAGGACTTTCCAGGATTTTCAAGGCCCGTGGACATCCTGCTTATATACATGAACAAATACTAGAAATTAAATTTAAGAATATACATATATATGAAGGAAAGGAATATTGGAACAATCTTCCAAGTGCGCATTCGATTGACGTCTTCGAGCCAGATTCAAGTTTGGAAAGGTAGTGAGAATACAGATTGTTTTTGAAGGACGAAATCAGAGAGGTACATTCGGTAATATGAGCGGGAGGATTGTTCCAAAGAAAAACACTCTGGTTGAAATGTGTTATTTTTAGGAACCTGTTGACTGTCATTGCCATACCTGTGTTGTGCTGTCACTGTATGGTCTGAAAGGTCCAGAAAACATTGATATACCATTGGCATACAATGTTAAAGGTATTGCATCAGGAGCCTATGCAAAGAATCATAAAAACAGCCAGCTTGAAACTGTGAAAATGACCAGCTAGGAACAATTATTGCATGCAAGATAATGGGCTCAAGGAAAATTTGGTCCATTCAATCTAACCAGTTCATTAATATTAATGACACAGTGATTAGTATACAGGGTGTATCAAAATAAACGCAATTCACCTTTTGCGCTTAATAACTTTCGAAATACTATTTCTAGTTAAACGCTTTTAGGCTTACTTCAAAGCCTGTTCTTTTCTCTTTCAAACAAACTATTATCCTTGTCTCCAATGCTAGTAATAATTGCACAGGAAAAGATTTAGTAAAACCTATCATTTTTAGTTGCTGTTTAATTATGCAAGTTTACTATGTTATTGTTTAGTCGATTTAAATGTTAGAATTTTCGTAACGTAAAGTATTATTATCCGCGAACCAATGAGTCAAATTTAAGAAACAACCCACTGTTAGAAAGCTGAATGGCTACGCTTTAAAATGAATGTAAACTTTAACGTTTTCGTCTATTATTTGTTTAGCAATTTACATTTCAGTCGAGGATTGCGCTTTTTTTGATACACCCTGTATATAGTAATATATGGTACCTATCACCATGTCTGTGATTATGATCACTGTCAGAAAGACTATGATACTAGGACACTAGTACATCACTCTATTTTAGGTCGATTGGGAGGGCAGGATCCCATATCCAAGAACATATAGCTGCTCTAATTCAACATCTTCTATCCTTAGCCCAATTATAAGAAACAATTACATGCTAAATGCACTCCACAGAGGCTTCTTAGTTGTGGTATAAAACAGGGTAAGCAGGATCTATTACTCATGAAGCAGGTATAAATAGGGATGCCATGGGGCACGTTGGGATGAAAATGAAGTCTACCTTAAGAGTGGCACCTCCTTTGGTACGAGCTATTACAGTTCTGTCAGCTCCACTCAGCACATTCAATTCTTCAATATTCTTAACAACAAGATTAAAATTGACTTCAAATGATTCAGGTGACACTGATGACTCTGAAATAAAAATAATAAGCTAGTAAATATTTTGTGTAAAGAGGAAGTTATTCAAGGAAAATCTAAAATTTCTAAAAATTGACTCACCTGGATTCCAAAATGGGTGTGTACTAGTCCCACTTCTTTGTTGATTCTCCAACTCAGTCCCCCAATTATCATCACGGTCAGGTTCTGGGCCAACCCAGATCATACCATAATCAGCTAGAAACTCCTATTTAGATATTTCAAAATGATAATCATATGATCTGTTATTATATGAAACAAGTCTATTCTTACAGAAAATTCAGTTTTCTGTAGGAATTCCTGTAAGAATTTAAGGATTATCTCTGGGTGTTCCAGTTTCCTTCCAAAGGGAATGTTGAAAGGGTTTAGGATACACAGAAGGACCACAAGAGAGAATATGCATAGAAATACCATTTGTAATTGTGTTAGGTAATTAGTTTTAAATAAATTAAAGTAATTGAAACAAAATGAATGAACACATACAATGATAGATTATAAAGTAATTGTACTAAGAAAGCTGTGATAGGGATATAACTATTCACTGGCATAGAGCCAGCCTGACAATTTCTTTAGAAATTGATTGTCTTCACAGTCAATGAACATGAAAATATTTGCACAGCGGGACTAAATCGTCGGGCTGGCTACGCTACTGAATACAACTACCTGAAAAATACAAGCAGTTCTTAAGCTGGAGTAACGAGTTACACGAGCAACAAAATTGCTGCAACTTGCAACACAATCTAATTTCTACGCATGTTAATTGAAAATGTTTACAAATAAATTACAAATCACAAGGCAACATGTGTCGACATTTCTACTTAACATGCGTTGAAATCATATTTTGTTGCAAGTTGCAGCAATTTTGTTGCTCGTGTAACTCCGGCTTAACTTCAAGTGAAAATAAAGTGATTAATTATACCTCCATATCATGGACTTGTTCCTGAAGAGTCCTGCATTTCGTTTCAACATCTTTTACGTTTTCAGCACCATAACCTAGTATTACAACAAAGCGAGTAGAGAAACAAACTTAGCATGTGCAGACAACAAATTTCAATACTGCAAGCCCTCAGTACTGGTACATTAATTACCTCGAGCCTTTTCTAGCAACACAACTTTCTCCTCCAATATCTTGATCTTTTTATCCTTGGAAGAAAGTTACACTTTTGTGAACTTTATAACTCATTTTAAAATAGCTTATTTTCCAATCTTGGTGCAAAATCCTGAGGAAATGTTGGGAGCAGGAAAAAATGTGAAGATTGTTTTTACATCTTCAACCAAATAAAAACTCCCTAGATGACATAGTTTATAACTTCTGTGCCAACATTACTTTTGGTCCTTTTGTTACAAATCCAGGATAGACATTTTGTATAACCGCTCAATATACACATGCCGTACCCTTGGACCAATTAAATACTCTGATAACTTAAAACAGCTTTTAGAAATTTAAAATAGTGATAACGATAATCGTAAATAGAGATATCGATAATTATAATAGTGAACGATAATCGTTATCAGAATCTGGTTGATTTTTGCCTTATCGGTAGACAATCCTTCAGAATTGGTAGAATTTATATCTGTATTGACAAAATATGTGAAGCAGGCCATTTGTGAATGGTTCAGTAAAACAAACGTTGGTTGCAGTAACATATGTTACATTGGAAATGATCACTAAAAAATTGAGATGATTGATGTCACCAGTTTACTCAGTTGACTGCATGACATTATCTCGAAAACTTCAGTTTATTTAGCCTTCAGGCTCTAAATTATAATTATAATATATTTATTTAATTTAATTTTAAAAAAATGTAACCTTTATAATTATATACATATATTTATAATTTATTTTTTCCATGTAAAATTATTGAGCAAAATAAACTTGACTTGACTTGTATCAGAATCGTGAATATTGTTGCATGAATAATCGGTAATCAGTAAATTCTGATTGGCACAATCGGTCAATCACTGAATATTAACATATCCTTAGAGTGTCCTCCAGATGCTCCCTAACAATATCTGTTCGGGTACAACAACCACATACAGTGCAAAAATTAACCATTTTAGTACAGGATTATTATAAACTTTTACAAAATTTGCTTTGTTTACAAAAGTTATATTATGCATAGATTGCTAATTTGTCAGTTTGTCCTCCAGATGCATTGTCGCCGAAGCTGTGACGTCATGTGCAATGGGTCTATTCTAACTTCTAAGCAACAGAGCTAGTACTTAAAACAATTATGCATTCACTAAATATTAACTACCTTTTCAATAACTTCTCTCGTACACACTCGAAGCTGTTGTTCAGTCTGAGAAAGCCTTGTTGCCATGCTACTTAGTAATTCCATGTCTGATGGTGCTAAAATTCCACATAAAATTTTCCTTTAGATTATAAGTTAACCCTTTAAGTGGTAAAGCATCCTGATGCACCCTAGGGACTTTATTATTTTACTTTGTCTGATGCCAGATGATTCAATCGTCAAGAGGAGAGTGCTGCCACTCAATGGCCGGGGGTTAAAGACGGTAGCTAATTGAAATTATTGAAATTATTTTCCACTTCAAAAACATCTTCTCACACACTGCTGGGAGCTGCTGCAGCCATCCGCCGCTGCAAACTTGACTTTTATTTACACAATAACAGCTAAGTCATTACTGTTTAGTTACATAAATGTCCACTGTGCCTAACAATTAGCTAAATGTCTATACAGTAATTAACAGGTGGGTGGGTGGGGATTTTTGTCAAGCGTTGCGGAAGCAACAACAACACATGCTGGCTTAACCTGCACCACACAAATACACCCGATTCACAATCAGGCTCCCAGCCTTGTGTGAGAAAACATTTTCTGCTTCTTTCGTACCTCAGCCAGCAGAAAATAACACTTAAAGTGGAAGTCAAGTCCGTTCTGTGCATCGGTTCTGCTCATAACAATGTGAGGACCTCTGAATGTAAACATTGCCCAAATTTCAAATGTTTCGAATTTCTCTGAACATAAACTCTATTTCATATTCAATTAGAAGCATAGCGAACAAAAATTGTGTTAGATATTCAGACAGTACATCATATTTTTAAAAAATACAGCAGTTCAAAATGTAAACAAACCGTTTGTTTACATACGGACTTGACTTCCACTTTAAGAAATAAACAAAACTACATTAAACTCTCGCTATAAGATGCTATGCACATGTTTATATCATATTATATAATACCTTATTAAATTCTAATCATTTAATTGGCTGTTTATGGTCACGTGATATTGAATAGAAAATTCCATTTCCCAAGAGTGCAATGGAACATGTTCCATTGCACTCTCCGCGAGTGGAATAAAACGTATAGTACAATTGCACTCTTTGTGTTTTCGATAAATCGCATCCCTCAAAATGCTTCTCATATGAATCTATTAGTCTATTTTGGTATTATATAAAACAAATAATGAATGTTTCTTCGTGCAATGGTAAGAATATTTTCATTCGGTGAAAGATGGAATGTTCCATTCAACTCGGCTGTCGCCTCGTTGAACATTCCATCTTTCACCTCATGAAAATATTCTTACCATTGCACTCATAAACATTCATTATTTGTATAATATACAGCAGTTAGCAATACCTTGAAAATGTTTTCTATTTTTTCTGTCAACATCTTTGTCAGGTTTCATGTCTCGAAGTTTATTATTGAGTATATCAGCTAATATGAAATTAAATAATAAATTTATCAGATATAAAACTCTCGGCTGTCAAGTCAAGACACAGTTTGTGTGAGTTTTAATAACCAACCTGGGTCATTTGCAGTTCTCCTGTATGGCACATTACTGAACCTAAATCACAAGGCAATCTTATAAATGAATGTTTCAAAGGTATACTACAATTACCCCCCCCCCCCTGGCATAGATTAGGAAATGAATAGATGGCTCACTCCTTTGATGTTTTTGACGCTGCCGGCACCCACGCATGTTCTTGCCAGAGTAATGGCGGCCTAGCAAGTAACTGTAGTAAAATGCATTGTGAAATTGACATTGGTGCTACTAAATCCTGTATTTTTATAATTCTGATTTATTTTTCCATTCAAACCCCCGAAAGAGGAAAAATACAGGATTTAGTAGCACGGATGTCAATTTCACAATACATTTTATTATAGTTCTTGCTAGGCCGCCATTACTCTGGCAAGAACATGCGTGGGTGCCGGCAGCGTGAAAAACATCAAAGGAGTGCGCCATCTATTCATTTCCTAATCTATGCCCCTGGCCTTCCCTCCTCCTGGCCTCCTTTGGTCTCCATTGAAACAAAACACCTGTAGCACTGTAAGGAACCTCCTCAGTCTTTAAAAACCTGTAATGTTTCATATTTAGCAATATTGAGCAAAATTATATTCTTGCCAGTCTATTGAACCAAAGTACAACTTATATAGATCTCTAGCAAAATTTGTAATTTTTGTATAATGCGCCAATGCTCACCTTCCTGGATTTTTTGCTCCATTTAAAGGCACTTTCTTGGTCTTTTTCAGACTTTCCAACGGAGAACTCATGACCAACAAAAATGAGAAGTTTTCATGGACAAATATCTTACATTTTGCGAGAATTTCTCATTTAAAAACTACTGTTTACAGTTATCTAGCAACAGTGAAGCGCCATTTTGGATTTAGCCCGCGAACGGGATGTATAATTTATTCAGCGTAATTTATTCTATAAATTTCATTTAAAATTTCCTTTTAATATTTGACATTTTTACACAGAGGAGGTTGGACAGCTAATTAGCGAGTTGTCACGTGAGCTCTCGACCAATGAGATCGCTCTATTTTCCATCGTGTTGGCGAAGATTTTTGGCCGTCAAATTCGCATTGGACGCAGAAGAACTCAAAAAATATATATAAATATTCCAATTTTTCTATCAAAATGCAACCATGGCCTTAGTATTATAAAAGGACTGGCGATATGTGCAAGAATTTCTGAGGTAAACGTTATTTTTTAACCTGTTTTCGATGATTAAAGTTGGTCATGCCGTGGCAACGTGATGACTCAAGTCCGAGTCTGTTTACAATTTTCAAACTAAAAAATCTGGAATTCCCACGGTTCGATTTTCGTAATTTTTGCAAAAAAGTCAAGACAAATGTCTAAACTAAAAATCTGCTGGAGGGATCCCCGGGATCCCCCGGCAGTTTTCGAGATATTTGGCATTGAAGTGACCATACTCAATTCAACCTTTGCCAAAATGGCGTCTAATATCTGGGGAAGATATTGCGCCACCAAAGCTTGGTTTTGACAATGAATTGTGAAAGTCCCCCAATATTAGGATCACTTTTCTTTACAGTAAGTGTTAAATTACTTTTGAAGGACTATTTAGAAGACTTAGGAGTTATTTGCCTGTTTTTGCAGATTTTATATCTGGGCTGGTATTACTAGCCTGCATGCCCATCTCCTTGACAAGTGAAATTGTCTGGTGGTAGAGACGATTTTAAAAGAACAGCACATTATAAAGTGATCAGATTTTCTCTCAGTGAAAAATTCTATGTTCCTTTTTAATTACAGCAGTTCAGATGTCGATATAGAATTGAAAAGGGCTTATTCCTGAACATCCTGCAAGGGCAGGGCCAACTGACGATGTTGAAGAATGAAGACATTTTAGCATGGATTACTAGTATAGATTATAGTATCTCTTGTCCTTTATGATGTCTTCCTGAAAGTTGTTGGTGAATACAAATTGAGCTGTGATCCCTCAACGTGGCCAACAACATGCTCCACCAAATACCTGAGCACAATATAGAAAGTGCACATACATGCAGGGATGGATTTACTTGGGGGGGGTTGCACCCCCTAGCCAGAGGGGGTGCACGGGGGTGCTATTTTTTATGATAAAGCAAAAAAGACAAAATAAGATACAATAATTTGAGTAATAACATGATGATAAGTGAACTGTGAACAACAATTACAATTCAAATACAGCAGTTGATGGGTGGGCGGCACACATGACCGACACAATTCGGCAGTCGGCACCAGAGCACCCCCCCCCCCCCACCAGATCATGCTGGATCCATCCCTGCATACATGTACTGTATCATATTTAATTAATGCTTGAGTATATTTGTTCAAATTTATTGATATTAATAAATAATTGAATTATGTTTGTTATAGTAGTGTACATTTTGCACCAGCCACTCTTGAAATTAGATGTCAGCCACTTTTTAACTAGATGGCCATGGATGACCTAAGAAATTGTTTTCTTTATTAAACAGCAACTTGCAAGCTTTGTGATATTTCTTGAATACCTCAAAAGTTGTCAGCTGCTGTTTACATTATCTACTTCACCATGTTTGGTTTTTTAGTATGCATGAACACTATTATTAAGTTAAAGGAGGAAGCATTTATAATGGAGGAAGCATTGATACTTCTGAAGACCATCCAGAGTCAACAGGTGTATATAGAAACAAGTAAATAGAGACCCATATTTTGACTAGAAATAAGAACCATTTAAATTCAACTCAGCCCGATTTTCACAGAACCAACTTTAAAATTAACTGCAGTCGAACTTTACAACATACATTCCAAATAAACATTGGTGGTCAGATTTCAAAGACAAATTGAAATTGACAGCAAGATGTAATTTTATTGTTGGGGATGGGTTGGTACTTTAGGGTTTAGGCTCAATTCTTGCAGAAGGGTTACATAAAGTCACAGCAATTTCAAAATTAATTACATGGCTTGACAAAATAAATTCTATTCAGTCAAGAAATAGGTAGATGCATTTATTGATAGCACATGTTTTTTTAAGTTTAGATATAGGTAATGAGAACCATATTGGTGTCCTAGTAATAAATTTATGCCACAATAAAAAAGCAATATTGCTATTTTGAGGGAGTTGCACATGACAGATATTGTTTTGTTATAGATAAACACCTACTTATATTAAATGATTTTTGTTTGGCAATAAAATGAAAGGTAAAAATGCTGGAAAAATCTAAAAAGTTAGCCAATTTAAATAACATTTCTATAACTTGCTAAACCTAGGCAGTTACTATTATTTCACAAACATCTGTCGACATACACTCATGCCCCTCCTTACCACTTGAGTCTCCCACTCACCACATCGCTTTATGAAAAATTTTGGATAAAATCCTATTTTAAAAAAGTCAACCCTATACTTTATATGCTGAACATAGACCTCTAAGATATCTCATGCAGCAATTTGTGGGTGCAAATAATATAGCCAACATCACATATGTCCATCCAGTTCCATAGTCTACATCAATTGCTATTGCACTTGGGTCCATTGGATTAAATGGCTTTGGCCGTATTCTTACATTCACTGGTTTATCTTGTCCATGAATAGCAAGGCATGCCTGTTACAAATGATGTTGGTAATGTTTCTCATGAACAGCACCAATGCACTTGAATGGCACAGCATGGGTGATTTCGTCCTCGTCACTTTCATCCTGATCACTTAACTGGTCACCACTTTCTGCCCTATCACCTCATTACCATATCCATCCTGACCAGGTTCAAGACCAGCCAACCACTGAACCACTCAAGTAGATCTCTTTCTACAAAATCATAACAAGAAATTTTATTATTTTATACATACACTGTAATCTCTAAAATTAGCAATCTAATGCAAAAGTGTGTCACTATTTACAGTAATATTAGAACAATACACAAATATTATTTTACAGATGAAAATTGAAAAATATAACTATACTGTATGCACATATATGTAAAAATCTATCCATACAAACAGGCATTCGTTTAATTAACTCAAAACGTGTACATATGTATCACAGTGACACAGTACATATACACACACAATACTAATAGGGTCAAACTAGAGGCATCATAAACACAAAAAGTACAAGAATAAAAACAACAAAGCGGAAATTTGACTATAAAATAACACGATAACTGTAATGCATTGTAGTATACCAACCTTATTAAATACTGCGCTTGTTTTCACGTTCATGATACACGGAGATTTAACGCCATCCAACTTAGAAAGAACTTCAAAGAAGAGCCTCGCTATTGGGAATATATTAAATTAAACACAATTCCTTTTCTCAGACGTATTATTTATAGTCTTTATAAAGCTAAAATTACAGCACGTCCCATGCAATTTAAAAAAAGGTAAACTTGATATAGTAAAACACAAGTCATAATGATGATCGCAACATGCTATTTTCACAAAATATCGCAGCCTGACATTCTTGTCGTTCGAAAGCTTCCATATTGGTTTTGTAGTCAGAGAGATGTTCACTCCCCGACAGTCAACAGTCAATGAAAGTCACGCGTGGAATTAGGCGCTCAATACCCATGATGCTTTGCGGCCTGCTGTCCAACCTCCTCTGTGACCGTATTTTAGTAATAGCTTCAAAATATTCAGAACATTGTTCTTTCAGTCGCACATAGTACAAGTATTACTGTACATTCAAAACCAATGGTAGTATTTTATTCGGCTTTATATTTGTATGTGTATTGATATCTATTTAATATTTGAAGAATTCTATATTTTTCCGAGTAATATATTGTGCGCCCCGCTAATGCTTTGCATTATTGTTCATGTTGCACAATGTACACGCCTTGCGTCAATTTGACAGTCGACAGTTTATTTATCGCAGTCGACGCTGATTGGTTAGCGTTTAGCAGATGCGAAAAGGGGATGATTGAATAAAACGCATGGTTCCGTGCAGACTCACCTTTCTCGCAGTGAGCCTGTTCGCAGGCTACGGCCCTCCTTAACTAGAAATCCTTCGCTAGCTATGCATATTTGTCATTCAATAAATGCATGCATATAAACCAGCTGTACTCTAAAACATCTTGATGAAGACTAACACTTATTTCAGTGGAAGAAAGATCTCAATATCTATAGTATACATAAATTTGTTGATGGGAACTGGGAAGTGCTTTTGCATGGTATTTTTAACACTCGTTAAATTTGTTTTTGCAAAACTGACTCGCTTATTGCATTCCCTCGTTCTCTTTGTGAAAACAAATTAACGCGAGTGCGAAAATACCATACGTTAGCCCTTCTTGAGTGTGAAGAAATCTCTGTATATTCCTAAGGAAAAGAGAAATGCCAATAACATAATGTAACACACTCAAAACTTAAAAAGCAAATATATTAATTATATTTACCTGCACCATGTATAAGTTGCAGGGAACTTCGATCTTTAGAATATATTATCTTCTTTGGCGGAGAAGGACTTCTTGATTTGGTCGAGGTACCAATATCTTTCAACATTTGACCTATAGAAAATTACACATATATACACACAGACAGTAACACCGGTATAAAGTTGACTTCAATTATCTGGTTTCTTGCACTTCGCTCAGGACCGTAGCTAGGGGAGTATTGGGGGGGGGTGGTTAACCCCCCCCCCCCCCCACCTTTTGACATATTCGGAAAATGGGATGGCCATTTGGAAAATTACGGCAATAATAGTATATGGTTTTTGTACGAAAATCATGAGATTCAGGCAATTTTTAGCTAATATCTGACTTTTGGTATGTCCGGAAAATATTTTTGACCCTTAAAATGGTACACTGACCGAAATTTTTTTGGCGTCGGAGGGGGAGGTCGCCAAGAATTTGCGAATGTTCGGAAATTTTCTTCGTCATTCGGAAATTTTTGGCCTACACCCCCCAACTATAAATGCTAGCTACGGCACTGACTTCCCTTGATGGAATTAATATTAGGAAAACAGCACCGGTATAAACTGCCCTTCTTAGAAACGCATAAGACGCATAGAAACTTAAATATATTGTTTTAATTTAATATGTCATTAAATAAAACAATGAAAAGTAAATTATAAATCATAATTTATATCGTTTTGTATAATTTATAATATATTGTTTTGGTAGCAGTGACCACGATCATCTATTAACCAAAGTCAGTCTAAGTCGACATCAGTACATGCATGGGATAGCTCAATGGTGTTTCCACAACAAACAACCAATTGGTCGTATTCCAAAACTAAGATGAAAACTATATGTTTCAAAAAGCAATTAAGTACTGTTCAATAAACGAGCAGGAGTGTTTTATTAGGTTTAAAGACACGAGCGCGCAGTGCGAGTGGCTTTAGACCTAGCTAATAAAACACGACCTGCGAGTTTATTAAACGGCTTCAAACACGACTACAAATTCAATAGATATACCGCCTTATTAGTATTCTTTATATAAAAAATACTAATGGGGACACGACAACAATAGATACTGCCTTATTAGTAGTCTTTATATAAAGAATACTAATTAGGAGTGTTTTATCAGGTTTAAAGCCACTGCACGTGACATATTATGGTTGACATGATTTGTAAGCTTGTGAATTATTAATGAGTGTTTGAAGGTTGTTAAAAAAGCTGATTTAGGAATAATTTTTTAAAAGTAGAATTTTTCTCGTATTTTTAACAATAAACTTGTACTAATTGTTATAAATGTGTAAAGCGTTTCCCCCTACCCGTTAATTTTTCTTCCTTCTTGATTAATGGAGTATCTTCTTCTGTAAGAGATTCCATGCTTTGTGCGCTGTTTAAGACAGACGCTTAAAAAACAAACCAAAAATATAACCAATAATACGTACAGTAAGACCCCGCGTATAAGAACTTAGATTTTAGGAATCTGTTAAGTCAAAATTGCTTATTTAGACGCCCTTTATATAAGAATCCTGGTCGGAGCTGGTCACATTGCCTCCAGATTTCGCGTGCATGGTAAATTGGATAAAAAAATGCCTTGATAAATGCCTTAGGGAGATGCACGAGAGGAGTTTCCGTTGCGTTTAGAAAATTGCAACCGGTGATATATAAAAATATAATTTGCAACTCCACAATTCCACACGCCAAGTTGAGTATACCGACTAATTATAATTGTAGGGTATCTTGTTCGATATTCAAAAAAAGTAAGACAAAGCACAGCATTTATATTTTCATGCCCTCCAGATGTTGTCCCCTAACCAACGGCTCGGAGCGCCGTGCCAGGGTACTAATTCCGCCCGGCTACTTACACATTAGCGAAGTCCAAAGTGGTTTCATGGTGTATGCGTGGACCTCCTCACTGATCTCAAATATATGATTGCCAGGAGTGGGATAAGCAAGAATTCAATTTTGAAAGACAATTACTTGGAAAATTGTTTCATATACAAGAGCTTGAAAACAAATTTTGTTTGAAGAATTGAAAAGAATTTTTTTACTAGTGGAAATCGTGAAATATAGGGCAAGTTTGTTTTGAATATTTTGAATTAATGTTTATGAATTTTGTTGCTTTATAAACTTTTTGCCCAAAAGTAAAATATGAACTGGTTTCCTTTTTCATCCTTTCCAACGAAGCTGCAAGTTTCCTACATCACCCTGTTTAATTTAAGGAAAAACTTAAAATATAAAGGAAAACAAATAGATTTTAATACGGAACGAAAATTACCTTAAAATTTAAACATAATAGTATGTTTTAGTAAAAGACCATGTGAAGTCCGTAATGTAAACAAAGGATTTGTTTACATTTTGAACTAGTGCTATATTTGTAAAACTGATATATAGACATACTAACCGAATATTCTACCGTATATAAAGTAACTACAGTATATAGTTCGGAAATTCATTATTGTATAGTTAATTTAAAGGTAAAAAAATATTTTAAAAATTGAAAACTATCGCGCTGTCATGGCAACCCTTGAACACGAGCCTGGGTTCAGTGTTGGCCATTTCTGAATACTTCATGTTAATTCAATGTTTGGAAAATATAGGCGAGGGGTTGCTGCATGCATGTATTTCAAGTTATTATGAGTTTAAGACAAATGAACCTATTGGCCTTGTGTTTTCACTAGAGCTGTCCCTTCGGTTCTAATCGATTATTAATCATCGTCATCACCAATCCAATAAAGTCGATTAGTCGTATGGATACATGAATAGTAGTCACATCCGCACTCCGCAGTGGTTAAGGTCGCTTACAATAATGGGGCATGTTTCAAAGTTTTTATTATACAGTCAATTGGAGCACTAGTGGTAGCAGAAATATAAAAAGAACAAGTCGCGTGCGTTGGTCAATTGATCACATCTACAACTACAATACCATCTCCTCGTAATTTTTCAATCACGAAAGAAAGTTGTCCAATTGTCATAGCATGACTGTTTTGTTGATTCGATTATCGTTAAGAATAATCGATTGCCAAAAAACACAATCTAGAGCTGCAGTTCTACTTTCAAAACCAAATCAGCACAGGGTCTGTCTAGAAAACCATGAAACTAGATCATGTCTAGAAAAAATTTATTGAACATTATAGTTTGCGTTTAGGTCAAAGTTTAAATAATTATCATTTATAGACGCGGAGCGAGGGGAATTCAGCGGAATATTACCTGAAGTGATGATATTTTCCGAGGGGTTTTGCCCCGAAGAAGATATCATCACTGAGAGTAATATTCCGCCTAATCCCGCGAGCGGAGGGTCTAAAAATGATATATTATACCGAAAGTTAAAGAACCCGCCAAGTTCAGAATAAACTTTACGGAAAACTTGAGGCGAATATAATTTTTAATTTCCTATGTATACTGAGTTTTTGACGTTTTCTCTTTAAAATATTTGAGCATGTATCCTTTGGATCATTGAGGTAACATACGTCTTGGAAATCGTTGGTTAACTTAATAAATTTTCTGTACGAAATTACAAACAACAGCTCGCGAACGCATATATTGTTTCAGAGAGTGGCGTCCACGCGTCACACGTGAGCGTGAGATACTATAATATCCCACGGTGGATCTACCGTGGGATATTATAGTATCTCACGCTGCATTGCGAAATCATGAATTTGAGTGAAATACCGTAAAAAATCACATTGTCGCGTGGTACAAATGGTGTTTTTTTATTGGACAATTTGAATTTGAGGTATAATATTTAACAATTATTCACCAAAGTGGAGGTGAATAGTGCCAGGATATTCACCACAACGCGAATTGTTGAGGTGAATATCCTTCCACTATTCACCGACACTGTTTTAGCATATACCATAGCAAAGCAAAAATGACCATAACAAAACAAAAATTAAAACGACCAAAAAGCTACGAAAATCTTTGTAAAACAATTTTTATTGCAGCTCCAAGCTTCCATAATAGGCTAGTTGTAAACAAAACAATGTATTTATTTAAAGCTTCTAGTAATTCTATTCATTAGCAACAGCTTTAAAGAATACCTCTACACATTGTTAAAAAAAACTTTCTGGCTTAGATTCTATGCGTTTGGTGAAACTGCAGCTTCGGTTAGTACAAACATTTGCTCGTCTGTAATCGGAATGAAACGGGAAGCCATTTTGTTTTTGTCTGGAGGTGAATAGTGCAAGCATATATCCGTAACTTGAGTATCAGGCTCTATTTTACAAATAATTGGATATCCGGAACTGAGCAACCAATCAAATTGTGTAAAAAACACTATCCTTAACGCGAGCAAACATGCTAAAATTGTAATATCGTTTTTATACACCCTGCAGTAATTAATATTAGATACTAAGTCGTAAGTGCTTTTATACTGGTCGTTAGTCGACTAAGGAGAAATTCCCTCAATATTGGGGGAAATATGCTATATATAGATATGCTATATATATATAGAAGCTATATCAAATTATAACATTCTAAAAATTATTTCGTTGTGTCTTCCCCCTCCTCCCTGTCGACCACAATATTGCAGTCGAGCGGGCGATTTATAAATTTCCCGTTAGCAAGGGGAAAAATATTTCAGATCTAGGAGATGTTAAATAAAACTGAGCGATATTGGGTTACAACACACGAGGTGCCCTTTTTGCAGTAGTAGAGACTCTGTAAAGGCCATTTCCGACGTTATAGAGACCCCTTATTTTCAAAAATTTTCGTTCGGCTCGTGAACCACATAAAATCGTTGATTTTGATCATATACATGTACACAAGAGACCCTTTTGGGCAGTACCCCCC